GATATGTCATGTAAACTATTGCAAGCCTCTTCCCAAGGAAAGTCAGCGCAGTCAGTCTTCCGGTGGTTGGTTATGGTTTCCACAATCAGAAAAGAAAGATAAATGTTGTGTAATATACAATGAAACATTAGTACCCCCTTAATCCTTTCACTTCTCACAGTATCATCACATGCGAACCAAACGTTTTTGAGTGTTGGGCCCATACCAGGAGCAAGTCTGGTGAGAAATAAGTTTACGTATCAGTGGAAAGGCATATTCAAGCAAATGTCTTTCTTTCCATATCTACAAACACAGGGTTATTTATTGTGCAGCTCCCCAGTGCATTTGTGAGATGCTGCATCTATTGCTTTGTAACGACAGGAAGTACAAACTGAAGCCGCAATCATCAAAAAGTGCCAGACACTGAGCTCTCGCCAGTTTGGAGAAGGCTGGCTTTTGGCTGAGCATTAAGGCAGAATAGTGCAGCGTAGGGGGGGCGGTCGTCCCCACCCCCATTTATCTCCCCAAGTAGAAAAAGCTGTGTTATAGGGTGATAGACAACATTAGTCATATTCAAGAGTAGACCGACTGAAATCAACAGAGTATCTTAAGTCCATTGATTTCAGTGCCACTGGCCCACTTTAAGTATGAGTTAATTGGATATCACTCCCATGTTAAAACCAAAACAAATTGGAGGGGAAAGCATGCTGAAAATTCAGTAATGTTCTGCCCATCACGAAACTGTACTCCCGGGGGATTCATTTATTTGTCCTTTTGATTCTGTATTCTTAAACCACACACACCATTTTGAAAACCTTTTTAAAAATTCATTAAGGAACCCTGGAACATCTCTGAAGGGTTTAGACTGTAGAACTACAAATATTTATTTTATTACAGTTAAATCCCCCCCCCCATTTCTCCCCATCACGGAGCCCAAAATGAACATACAGTTTGCAGGGAATCATCCATTCAGGCACTGAGCAGACCCCAAATCTCCTTAGCTTCAACAAGGTGGTAGCCTTAATGCCCTTCAGACCACACACCCTGGCACCAAGGGAGTTTTGGGAGCAGCTCTTTAATGGGAATTTGTGCCGATACGTTTGCATAACTTGCTTAGAGGTTACATGACATCACCTGTTTATTGAGCATCCCCCCTAATACATTTCACATACATGTCACCCTAACCACTCCCTCTCAGTGGTTGCTTTGCCAATGCACACAGGTAATGCCATAGTAAGAGGCCTTCATACCATAGTAAGAGGCAAAGGTTGTCCCACCTTCCTGTGAGGAATTGCTTTTCCTGCCTACAAGCTGAAATATGGGTAGTTCATGTTATGCCAGTTAAGCGAGCCAAAAGATAAAATAAAAACCCACTCTCCCAAATCCTAGTCTACACACAATTAACCTGAAAGGAACTTAATGCATTAACCCCAAAGCTCCTATTAATTTCCATTTTTTAAAGTTTATTATTCTAACTCTTTGAATTAATACGGCACTAAATTTACCCTACAAAGGATGGTTTTACATTCCTTTGTAGGAGGAACAGACTAGAGTGAATTAAAAATGGTTCTGCTAAAATGACTTTATGATAATACGTGACAGTGAAAGATTTGAGTGTATTACCCAGACAGCTGCTCTGCAAACAGAAAAAAATTACCAAGGTGGTTTCAATGACACTCCAAACATTTAAGTTATGAGAATGATTTTTTCCCCTTTTTAACCATCTCTCCACTGAGAAAAGAAGTGTGCATAGATATAGATATATACACACACATACAAAATCAACTTAGACTAAACATATAAATGCTGTTTCCAAGATCAGGGGGGAGAAAAATAAATGTGAAATGGTACAGAAAACATTTTAAGGAGAAAAGGGAAGCCATGTGGGAATTGAAATAAATGAAAATGCCAACCCATAGCTATACCAGCAGACTTTAGAGGCAAGGAATGAGGCTTCACATAGAAGTTAGACTCAAAGGAAATGAGGCCCAATAGCCAGCGCACAAGCAAGAACTTTTCCATGCTATTACCTGGTATGAGCATTAAAACTTCACTGCCATATCCAATGTTGCTCCTAGTCAGATCAGACCCGCTGAAGATAACAGACGTGACTGACCTAGACCCATTAATTTCAATAGACCTCACCCACACTATGCATTTAAATAACATCATACTACTAAATAGTTTTGGCTTCCCCCCAAAGAATCATGAGAACCATAGTTTGCTAAGAGTGCAAAGAGTGGTTAGGATGCTCCCATTTACTTCACAGAGCTCCATTTCCCAGAATGGCTTAACAATCAATCCCTGTTCCCAGGGAACCCTGGGAATAGGGGTACCCTAACAATGCTCAGCCCCCATAACAAGCTACAGTTCCCAAGATTCTTTGGGGGAAGCCATGACTATTTGAAGTGTTATGATACTGCTTTAAACCTATAGCTGATACAACCCCCAGTTCTTTAAAGGTAAAGGGACCCCTGACCATTAGGTCCAGTTGCGGACGACTCTGGGGTTGCGGCGCTCATCTCACTTTATTGGCCGAGGGAGCCGGCGTACAGCTTCCGGCTCATGTGGCCAGCATGACTAAGCCGCTTCTGGCGAACCAGAGCAGCGCACGGAAACACCGTTTATCTTCCCGCCAGAGTGGTACAGTGGTGCCTCGCAAGACGAAATCAATTCGTTCCGCGAGTTTTTTCGTCTTGCAGTTTTTTTCGTCTTGCAAAGCACGGTGTCGGAAAAGTTTTGGAAAAGCTTCAAAAATCACCAAAGTTTTCAAAAACCTCAAAAAAGGCTACCACACTGCGTGCTATGAGTTGCTCCTCGAAGTCAAGTCACAACTGTATTAACGGTTTTAAGAAAAAGGAAACAAACTTGCAAGACGTTTCCGTCTTGCGAAGCAAGCCCATAGGGAAAATCGTCTTGCGAAGCAACTCAAAAAACCAAAAACCCTTTCGTTTTGCGAGTTTTCCGTCTTGCGAGGCATTCGTCTTGCGAGGTATCACTGTACCTATTTATCTACTTGCACTTTGACGTGCTTTCGAACTGCTAGGTGGGCAGGAGCTGGGACCGAGCAATGGGAGCTCACCCCGTCGTGGGGATTCAAACCGCCGACCTTCTGATCGGCAAGTCCTAGGCTCTGTGGTTTAACCCACAGCGCCACCCGAGTCCAGTTCTTTAGTAGCAACCAATTGCTCCCCCTCTTTTTCCCCCTCTGGCTGGACTTAACCAACTATTTATGTACCAAATGCTTCATGTCTGTTGACTGATTAACAAGGCAAAGAGAGGAATAGACTGAGCAATAGACGACAATCTCCCTATTTACAATCTATCTACCAGGCCGATTGAAAATAGTTCTCTAGCAAGTTTAAAAATCCCTCCCTATCTCTTTAGATGCCACTAATCGCTGAAAGCGATCCTAACAGCTTAAAAGGCCTACATTTTGAGCTCAGATGATCCAAGGAGATCAGAGCTCTGCGGCTCCATGTATATGTCAGCACATCCGTCACTCCTGCCACCACCTTGGCTCTGGGAAGCTGGCAGGGGGATTGGAACTGACAGGCCTCCTGCTCTCTCAAGCAAGAGCAAAAAAACCTCATCCATTTCATTGCTCCCTGGACTCCTAAGAGCAGCACAGCCCAAGCAGACAGGGCAGGGGAGGAGCATAATATGCTACCTAGGCTTATTTGAATAAAGCAAAGCACGGCGGCTGCTTAGGTGGCTTCTTCTTGCATAGCAGTTTTAATATTTTCTAATATTTCATTAAGACTGCAGCGGCAATGCAGACATTTGGAAGAGACTGTCTCCCCCAGGCAGCTGCTCCGGTGTGTGTGCCCATGGTGTAATGCAGAGGGGAACACAAGGGACTGCTGCTCTAGGACTTTGTTCCGAGCAAAAGAAATGGCATCGTCTGTAGGAGCACCGCACAATTGGATGAGGCGATAATGAGGCTTTCAAGCTCATTTCATAACACGGAGGAAGTTAGAGAATGAGAACAGCTTACTATTCTATGGCTGTCAGCTGATGCTAAATTGGGTATTATGCTATGTTGCGGGCAGCCTGCGGAGGCGGTGGTCATGGCAGAGGTCGGGCACCCACTGCAAAAATGTTGTGGGTGCCCGAGTCGCTGGGAGATAGCACCAGTGACTCAGACCCCACTATAATGGCATAACAACCCATCTATGAGAGACCTTCCTGTGCTCTGAGGAAGAGCTTGCCAGTGTTAAAGCTGGCCCAAAGGATTTTGCCCAACAATATTTTACGTGTGTGGTGTTTCTCTGCATTCTCTTCTTCCCACCTTTTAAGGAATTGGGATGAATTTTCCACCACCCCCAATTTATAAATATTTCTTTTAACTATTATGGATAACTCAGAGTCCCTTAACGCAAGTCCAAACTTTGAAATGTTATTAGTAGGCTTGCCATACGTCAGGAAAGTTCCTGACATGCCCTGGTTTCCAGTTGTAAAAATGGCGTCAGGGGGTACTTTTGCCAAATTGGCAAAATGTCAGGGGGAAACCTGGATGTAATGTATGGCAACGGGATGTAAAAAGCAGCAAAAACGCTATTTTGGGGGGTTTCCCCAAAAAAGATAAACAACTTTGAAATATGACAACCCTATTATTAGTAAACATTGTTAGCAAACTGTTAAGGATGCCATCTTGTGGCTAATGGCTAAATAGTGTTGCACAAAGTATCTCCCCAAAACTATTTGTTATTCCTTCCCGGGCCAACCAGAAACATCTGATGAAGGGCTTTAGCTCAGTGGTAAAGGGATCCCTGACCATTAGGTCCAGTCGTGGACGACTCTGGGGTTGCAGCGCTCATCTCGCTTTATTGGCTGAGGGAGCTGGCGTACAGCTTCCAGGTCATGTGGCCAGCATGACTAAGCCACTTCTGGTGAACCAGAGCAGCGCACGGAAATGCTGTTTACCTTCCCGCCAGAGTGGTACCTATTTATCTACTTGCACTCTGGTGTGCTTTCGAACATCTCAGTTGCATGCAGAAGGTCCCAGGTTCTTCTTCTTCCTCTCATTAGCTCAGTCGGTATAGCATGAGACTCTTAATGCCAGGGTCATGGGTTCAAGCCCCACGTTGGATGAAAGATTCCTGCATTGCAAGGACCCTTGTGGCCCTTTCCAACCCTACGATTCTACAATAGGGCAGGGAGAAACCCTGGAGAATTGCTGCAAGATGGTGTGGGCAGTACTGAGCATCCAAAACAGGACTTCCCTGGGAACCATATGCTAACCTTTTCTATTTCTCTTCCAAACAACGATCTCACCTTTGGGAATATGACATTATTATTTTTCAACAATACTTGTTTTGTTTCTTACACTGCATTCAGTGCTCATGCATGTAAATATCTGGCAGTATATAGTCACTAAAAGGCAGCTACTGTGTTTACTAAGCATTTATTAAAACATGCTTTTGGGTGAATGTGTGAGGAGGAGGAGGGAAAATATTCAAAGCGCTATAGGAGGAAAATGTCAAATAAGCCTACAGTTAGAAAACCTTCATGAAGTGGTTTTGTATTAAGGATTCAACGTGTTCCATGAGGACATTCATGTCAGCAGCACAGACCTGGTACTGCTGCTTCTCGTTCTTTTTCAGAGTCTCTAATAGGCCCCTGTGGACCGGAGGCAAAGGGTTATAAGAGTTTAACAAGTGAAGCTGACTTAACGGAGTCTGCTTGATTTCTCCAATCCTCAAGGCCTGTAGGACAGCAGGTGCAAATTTGGAATAATGAGCCGTAGAAGAAATGATCACCGGGCAAGTTTTATCTTGCAGTCGATCGGCAACCACCTTTGCGAGAGCTGTGTGCGTATCTAAAATGTAGCCTGTGGTATCGAACACAGAGCGAATGGCACCCAGGCAGTCGTCCTCAGAGCACCAATCAGCGACCAAATCCTGCTGAAGCCTGTGCAGGAAGTGTTCCTGCAACTGGAAGCAGCGCTGATTCTCCAGACTGCTAAACAGTTGCATCACCAGCTGCCCGTCCCCATTAGCAATCAAGTGCAAATGTCGTTCAAGGTTGGAAGACTTCAAAATGTCCACTGCCGGTGACAGACTTTGCATTAATCGCCTCTCCTTTATATTGTACAGGCCTGTTTTTATGAATTCCGTCAAGACGTTGTTTTGATTGGAAGCACAGATGCATTTTCGTATAGGGATCCCCATCATTTGCGCATACTTAGCGGCTAGTATGTTGCCAAAGTTCCCTGTGGGAACACAGACATCAACAGGGTTCCCAAAGGAAATGATGCCTTGCTCAACAAGGTCAAGGTAGGCAGAAGCATGATAGACCACCTGGGGAAGCAAGCGAGCCCAGTTTATAGAATTTGCTGCACTTAACGCTGTCCCGTATTCCACAGTGAGAAAGCCGGTAAAATCTGAATCGGTAAACATCTGCTTGATGGCAGACTGGCAAAAATCAAAGTCTGATCTGACACCTATTACTTTTGTGTTTGCTTCCTGGTAGCCCACCATCTGTGATTTCTGAATCTGGCTAACTCCATCCTGGGGAAAGAGGGTGACCATGGCAATCCTTTGTTTATCAGTCTCCTTAAGCCGACTAAAACCATCCAGGACGGCACTTCCTGTGTCTCCGGAAGTAGCTACCAAGATCAAATAGTTACAGCTTTGGGGGATGCAATATGCAAACAGGTGGGGCATCAACTGCAACGCCAAATCCTTAAATGAAGCCGTTGGTCCATGAAACAGCTCCAAAAGAAACTGATTGCCTGCCAGGTGCCTAACGGGGGCAATTTTAGAACAGGTAAAATTTTGTCCATAGGCAGCCTGAACTATTTCCCATAACTTGGAAGCAGGCACATCAGCAGGATGTATGCACCTTTCCAGTATAACCTGAGCTCTTTCAGCATAGCTTGCCCCAAGTAGATGTTGCCATTCTCCTGCAGTGAATACTGGAAGCCCCATCTCAGGAACAAAAAGCCCACCATCAGGCGCCAGTCCCTCAACAAGAACATCGCTGAAATATTTCACAGAGCCTTTTGGCTCAACCTTCTTATTGCATCTTAGACTCCTGGTGGAAATGAAGCCATCTGAGTCAGAGTCTTGGTACCGCTTCACTGCATGAAGCACTTTCTCTGCAACAGCGTCGGCTGTAATTCCGTTCTCACAAAGCACACGGACATCGTACCACTTCTTATAAAACTGCTTCCGAAACTGGAGGATGTCTCTCAGTGAGGTTCCGGGTCCCTGCCCCACAATACGGTCTACTTTCATCAACTGCAACCGATCCATGATGCTTTGTGTCGGTACGTCCAGATAGACCACAACCCCATTTTTCTTCACGTGCTCCATGCTGGCAGCATTCATTGGGTTGGAGCCAGTAAGGGAAACGACACTTCCGGATGCTGAAAGATTTAACAAGGCTTTTCCTTCCTCTTCTAAAAATTGCTCGTTGCCAACATCCTTCAATTTTTCTGCCACACTCATGTTCCAGGTTGTTTCAAGGACATCGTCGTCCACATCTATGAAGCAGGAGCCTAGTTTCTGCCCTACTATTTTCCCCACTGTCGTTTTGCCAGCGCCAGGGGGTCCCATCAGGACAATATTCTTGTCCCCGACAAGAGAATGCCTAGACATCCATGGTGTCCGTGCAAGGGCAAAGCTTCTTGAAAAAATCAACTTTAAATACACATCAGAAACCATGATGCGACTCATTAGCTTTAGATGCCGATTCCAGACCACATGAAACATCTTCTTCTTTTCTCTCGAGCCAATTTCACAAGGAAAGGAAACGCTTTATAAGAAGAGGAAGGGAAAATCCAGTGAGCCAGAAATACTTTAAACCTTAGCCACTTGACATTTAAAATAATTACTAGAATGTGAAGACACTTCTGACTGCTCCATTCCTATCTTACGGGAGGAAGTTTTGGGGGTTTTTTGAACAAGATCGCTCACCCATTCTGTGACCTGATCATGACAAATAAATGGGTGAGGATTTTATTGAATTCCACCTTCTGTGAAATCTGTGCAGAGGGGAAAGGTTTTCCCTTTAAAGTATGCGTGTTTGTTGTGACATTTCTACTCTGAAAAGAAGCCACATGCTTAAAAAAATAAGCCTCTGTGCCTTCCTGCATAAAATCCTTACACTTAGTTCATTTTCTGTGCATAGGATAGCTTAACTGTTTCCTTGGCTAAGAGCCACAAGCAGAACAGGACAGAACCACCTCTAACACCACAGAGCTACAATGAATACTGACTGTAGGCAGGTAATGTTCTCAGAATCAATAAAAAATCCTCAATGGAGCTCCCGAAACTAGCTGCTAGAAAAACCAGTATGTACTCCATTTCTTAGACATATTGTACCACCCCTGCCCTCCCCTTGCCTTTATTTGCACATGTAAGGAAATATTTGGGGCACATTAACCCTAACTACCAGAGGATGGCAAACCTGTAGAAGGTGACAGCTGATTACAATGAATACTTTAACTTTTTATTTAAAACGCACAAACAAAAGCACCCATGAGTGCAATCCAACTCCCACTGGAATGTCAAGACTTCCCCAGTCGTTTAAATGGAGCCAGAGTGCACTTTATGCATTCATATAAAATCCTTTCTTAGCATCCAAATATATTTTCTTTCTTTGAAACCAACCAACCAATTGTTTTGTTACATAACTTACGGTTGCAAGGGTAGCTCACTTCTGTCCTGTTATCGTCTGAGCAGGCATTACAAAAAAATAATAACAAGCCCAGGCAAATGGCATCTGTGACGTGCTCTTGTGCAGCAACCACGTACGGCTTTCTTTCCTTTTTTTAAGCCTCAATCTAGATGGAGCAGAATAAAAGAGAAAGATCAGAGTGAAGCAAATGCCGCACAAGCAATTGCGCTCCAGAGGCAACAGAAGAACAAGCACCGGGCAAAGAGGACTCTCTCCAGCCCCAGAACATGAACACGTTGCCAAGAGTAGATGCGTTTTGTTTGCTCAGGGAAATCAACAGCGACATCAACACGTACCGCAAAACAAACAGTGCACACACTTAAAGTTAGGAGACTAGGAAAACCTCATATGCTTTGCCTTTTCAAAATTAAAACAAATTGGCCCTGAAAACAATATAATCCTGCATTCTGTTATTGCTAGATGCTTAGCTCTTGCAAGTAAAATATTTTTGGTGAAAGCACAGTTTAATGTAGCCTTTGCTAATCTGGTACCTTCCAGATGCATGGGGAAACTCCCATCATCCCTAATCATTGGCCCTGATGGCTGGGGCTGATGGGAGTTGGGGCTCAACATCTGGAGGGGGACGAGTTCCCCACCTGTTCTAAACAAACAAAGCTTCTTTCACTTGCTGAGCTACTTTAATAGTGTCAGACGAACCATTCTCATTCACCATCTTTTACTGTTCATTTTTGCCCCTTGGCATCTTTTGACATGTTTATTCCATAAGAAGAAGTACAGTGGTACCTCGGTTTACAAACTTAATCCATTCCGGAAGTCCATTCTTAAACCAAAACCATTCTTAAATTGAGGCTCGCTTTCCCTAATGAGGCCTCCCACTGCCGGTGCCCTTCCACCATTCGGATTCCGTTCTTAGACCAAGGTAACGTTCTCAAACCAAGACACTCTTTCTGGTTTTGCGGAGTTTATAAACCAAATCGTTCTTTAACCGGACTGTTCTTAAACCAAGGTACTACTGTATGCAGTCTGTAAGACAAGAGGGCATAAATGTCCTGAAGGGACTCCTCCATTCTAGTCATAGCACAGAGGCAGGGATATCTGTGGTCCTCCGAGGTTGTTGGACTACAACTATCACTTGCAGCCAGCACAGCCAATGGTTAAGGAGTTGTAGGCCAACAGCATCTGCAGGGGTGGAGGTCTGCTCTGTCACAGTGTTATAGTCAACTAGCATGACAATCAGAGAAGTACGACATTCACACAGCAACTGTTTTCCATACTCCATGCTCCCACTTTTTCTGTGCTATTCAAGTTTTCTGGGGCTTGGAGCAGGAACCTTCTCCCCAACTCTATTCCATCATGCAGCTAAAGCTTTTTTAAAAAATAAAATAAAAATTCAGGCGCATTTCCTGCTGGATAACTAATTGCAATGAGTCCCAGGTTATGGTTTGAAGGCAAATGAAACAATTTGCTGAAGCTAAGCAGTGCTGGGCTGGTCACTACTTGGATGCAAGAAAGGTGGGGTATAAAGGCATAAAAACATATTTTTAAATTACATTTCCGTGGGGACCTTTATATAGACATTTAATATTTGTAGTGATTTTGTTTGTTCTACTGCATTACTAGAATACCTCCAATGTGCTTTAACTGTAACTTTATTCTTTTTAAGTTGCTTACTTTCTTTTATTTAGAAAATTGAGCTGATGTATACAAATGAATGCAGGTCACAGAGCTTATACTTCTCCAGCGGCAGCTTGTCTCTATACAGGAATATGTGCTGATTACTTTGGGAAACCTAGATTTAAATGCGACAAACAGACGAAAAGTGGTGACTGGGCCAGAAATCAGCAGAGTCCTTCAGCGTTGTGGGGCCGTGACTGTGATTGTGCCAGTGCAAATATTTAACTCACAGCTCTTTGCTCTTCCCTGGCTAAAAAATGTGGCTGCAATTCACCATCTATGTAGAACACTGGCCTTCTGGGACATGGCTGGTTCTCTGAACTACTGTACACTAAACGTATATTGTATACTGTTATTGTCACACACCCAATGTGGCCCCGCTGAAATAGATCCAGGCTGAAATTTGATGAATACTAACATGAGCGTAGCCAGGATTTTTTTGTGGGGGAGGCAAACCTTTTGTTGGGGGGGGCAGAACCTCAGTTTGCTATGTACTTTTATTGATTGGGGGGGCAGCTGCTCCCCCTTGGCTACGCCCATGAATACTAATGTAGGTACACATAAAGCTCCCATAAAGGCATTGCTACCCCACTTCCAGTAATGTGTGCTGACCTACTTTAACCAGAAAGCAATGAATTGAATAATATTTCTACAGCTCTGATTCCAAAGCATTCAAATCTATCCCAAGGATTTGCCCTTAAAATACTATAGATCTGCATGATGTCCCCTTGGAAACCCCAAACTGTTTTTTTCCATTACATTATCATTGCAACAAAACTGTCGAAGAAAAATTTGAATATCTATCTGTCTCAGGTCAGACATAGGTAAAGGGACCCCTGACCATTAGGTCCAGTCGTGACCGACTCTGGGGTTGTGGTGCTAATCTCACTTTATTGGCTGAGGGAGCCGGCGTACGGCTTCCGGGTCATGTGGCCAGCATGACTAAGCCGCTTGTGGCGAACCAGAGCAGCGCATGGAAATGCCGTTTACCTTCCCACCGGAGTGGTACCTATTTATCTACTTGTACTTTGACGTGCTTTCGAACTGCTAGGTTGGCAGAAGCAGGGACTGAGCAACTGGAGCTCACCCCGTCGTGGGGATTCGAACCACCAACCTTCTGATCAGCAAGTCCTAGGTTCTGTGGTTTAACCCACAGCGCCACCCTTCTAATTAAACTGGCAAATAACATCCAAAAATAAGATTGCCATGAGCAATTCAATACACATTTCAGCCATGCAGCATAGATGATTACAATAACTATGATGCAACATGGAAGCAGTAAGTTGGTATTTCCAATACTTCTTTGTGCCATTAGCTGTTGTACAACATAAAAGAGAAAACAGAATTTGTGGATAAGCTTTAAATAGCACTCATTTATGAAAATTTTAAAAATATCCAGTGATTTGAGAATTGCCTTGCAATTCTCTTCCTCTTCCTGTGCAGGCATCACTTACTATATTAAACAATCAGAATGCAATTGCAAAGCATTTTCTATAACTTGCACCTAGCAATGCCAGTAGCAATGACCCCAATTCAAAGCAGAATCCGACTTCTAAGAAGGTTGGAAGAAGAGGAGTATGGCAAGAATGAAGTGAAGGGTCAATGTATTCATTCCAATGTGATCATAAACAATATGAATTGTCTTAGTTATCACTGCTTCTCACCCAGCAGTGGCCAGCTTTCTTCCATAGGCAACATGTGTGAATCTTCTCAAATGTTGTTTTAGTTATTATTACATTTACATCCCACACTTCTACAAAGGACATCAAGCAGCATAAGAAGTGTCTGCTGGATCAGACCAACGACCTAGTCCAATACAGTGGTACCTCGGGTTAAGTACTTAATTCGTTCCAGAGGTCCGTACTTAACCTGAAACTGTTCTTAACCTGAAGCACCACTTTAGCTAATGGGGCCTCCTGCTGCTGCCGCGACGCCGGAGCACGATTTCTGTTCTCATCCTGAGGCAAAGTTCTTAACCTGAAGCACTATTTCTGGGTTTGCAGAGTCTGTAACCTGAAGTGTATGTAACCTGAAGCGTATGTAACCCAAGGTACCACTGTACAGTACTCTGTTCTCATACTGATCAACCAGATACCTAGGGGAAGCCTACAAGCAGAATTTGAGCACAAATGGTATTCAGAGGCCTATTGCCTCCAACATCCCCCGCACAAAATGTTAAAAGCGTGGCACTTACATCAAGAACTGCGTACCAGCACCTTTTTGATTCTTTAAAAAAAAAAAAAAAAAGCACTGGGATCTGCCTAGCTCTGCTGAGCAAATTTATTGTATTGCCAATTTACTGGGCTGCAGTTGTGAATGTATTCATGCATACATCTGAGCTCTGCGTAAGCCACGGGTTGCGTCTCTTGCACGTTACTGCTTTGGGGTTCTGCTTTCCCCCTCCTTTCTCCCTGCCAGCCTACTCGCGTGGTGCATCTGATGCCGGCGGGCCCACCAGACCTCCTGCATGCCACAATTTTGACACCCTTTAAACTTTATTCAGCGACCCGTGACTTTTCTCTCTGCTGCAGCAGAAACAAAGCAGCGAAGAGTACCCCTTCTTCAAGATATGGGGCGCCCCCCCCCCCGGTCTCGTCAGTGGGTGGGGAGGGAAGCTCCTGCTCCAATGCAACGCCTCGAGCAGGATGGGGACCGAGTCTCTCCCTTCAGGACAACCAGAGGGCGACCCACCCGTTCCCCCCATTCCCTGCCAAGGCTGCCAAGAGCAGAGGGGAGGCTGCTCCTCGTGAGCAGGGAAGGATCCATGCACGTAGCATGGATCCGAAAAGGAAGGAAGGAATCCGTTTCAAGGCACGCAAAAAAATTAAAATCCCTGCCCTCCCATAAAGCGCCTCTCCGCCATTGCTCAACCCAGCCCCCCTCTAACCACATGCAGGCAGACCTACCTGCTACTACGCGTGCGCGAACTCCCACGCCGGCGGCGTCCTCCTTCCTATCTCTGCGCGGTATCTCTACGGCGGCGTCCTCCCTCCCTGCCCCTGCTGCGCCTGCGCGCCATTCCTTTCCTCCCCGCCCCCCCTCCCCGGCTTCGCTCATTGTTCACTGCACAGTCCCGGAAATGGCGTCACAAAGCCACTCTCCCGTTCCACACACACACACGCGGGCGCGTTGCTAAGCGGTGGTTTCCAAGGGCGACCAAACAGTGCCGCTGGTTCTAATCCGCGGCAGCCGAGGAGGCTTCGAACGGGAGCGGAAAAGGGCTCGGAGGAGAGAAAGGAGAGCGGGGTAAGGCGAAGAGAGGGAGGCGGGGAAGGGATGGGAAGGCAGGGCAGGGAGCAGGGAAAGCAAGAGGGACTCTGAGCGGGTGCAGACGGCGCGCATGGGAATGCGAGGCAGGCAGGTCGTTCGCCCTGGACTCCTTGCGTGTTGGTAGATTGATACACCGCCTTCTCTCATAAGGAGCTCAGAGCGCCGCACGTGCTTCTCTCTTTTTCCACATCTCACACATTTTTAACTTCACAACAGCCCTGAGAGAGTGGCTGGCCCGAAGTCACCCAGTGAGCTTCTTGGCGAAGTGGGGTTTTGTAGTCCAACAACATCTCAAAGGCTAAGATATCATCATCATCATCTCTGCACTATTCCTCTGCCTGTTCAGATAAGCAGCAGTAGCAGCAGCTCCCCAAAGCCTCGCCTTTCCCAGCTCTGTCACCTTGACAGCCTTTTAACTGGAGGTTTTTTTAAACCCAGACCCTGAACGAAAAGCATTTGTGTATTTTTGGAAACCATGACCCGTAATAAAAAAAAAAATTGTACGCGCTTTGACATTGCATTATAGCATTTCTGGAGCCTATTCCGATAGCTGCTTTTAACTTGTGCAGCATACATTGTGCACGTATGACAGCTGACGTGTGGCAAAGCACATCGCCCGATCACTTGGCAGGATGGTGTTAAAACTATCCAAGCTACCACAGGGTGAGGTTTAACATAACTCTGGGGAAGTCATACATGGGTTTCCTCAGCCAAGTGCAGAAGTACAATAAGACCTTCCTCACCCACTTGGCAGGACAATTCAGGTGTTAGGTTGTAGAGACTCCATGTGATGTTGTTACTTAGAAAAATGGGTGAGAAACCTGTGGTACTGCAGATGTGGTTGGATGATTGTCTGCAGCCCTGATTACTGGTCGTGCTGGTGGAGGCTGTCCCAACAACTTCTGGCCCAGGGTCAACTCTGTGCAGACCTAGAGAGGAGGCTGGAAGTGATAATGTGAGCGATATTAGGGCAAACCGTGGAACTGGGATGGTTGAAATGTTGAGGTCAAAGGATAAAAGTGACCAGCCAAAGAGGAATGTGCTAAGGAGAAGAATATAGAGTGTAAAAGAAGGAAGGGAAGGATAAGAAGTATGTGCCTGGGGGACGGGATGCGGGGAGAAAAACTGAAAGGAGAGGTGGAATGGTGTTTATGAGACAAAATGTGACAGGCAGTTCACTTTTTAAAAGATTTCTTTTTTAATTAAAAAAAAATTATTCAAAAGTTACAATACAGTTACAATACATTTTCAATCAATGTATCCCCTCCACAGACACAGATATTTTAAGACAGGTCACTTTAGAAGTCTGGCAATTTAAATTATCTGCAGAGTGTATCTCTGTGAAGATGGCAGCAATGTGCATGGAGGAGAGCATTTACAACCTTCTACCTTACAATCTGGATAAGTCTTGCAAGGCCCCCAGGTATGTGGGTAAGGACACTTGGGACTCATTCTGACAACCTTTTATACTTGTCAATCAGTGATGTACCTGTTCCTATGGAAAAATGTTACAATAATTTTTCTGTTAAAATGAATTTTGTGTCTCCTATCATACTACAGCCTTGGAAGTGAGAAGGGACCTTTGGGTGCATTCACATGGCAGTTTATTCTGTTTTCACGACAGAATACTTCTGGAACTATAGTGGAATATAGTGCAAGTTTATTATTCATTTCTATGTTATTTACTTCCAGGAAAAAAATCTGTTAGCAAATAATATGGAAATGAGTGCTAAACTTGCATTATATTCCACTATAGTTTCACTGTAATCCACTATAGTTCTGGAAGTGACTTTTACATCATGTGAAAGCTCAAATATAATTTTGAGATTTTTCTTTTTTCTTTTTTGCTTCCTAGTATTTAATGCTGTTCTCCTTTCTTTTCCATCTTTTTAATTTTTCAAGATATGCTTCATATCCTCTCACAGCATACTAGTGTGGCTGATATATAAGGGAATTGCTGCAAATTGCAGTCAAAGAGAACACTCCCCAGCTCTGTCTTATGTGGTTTGGATTTTTGTTGCGTGAACCACTAATGGCAGAATTATACAATGGACACATCTTTTTGAATATACGGCAATCAATATCTGAAATTTAATTTCATCAGCTCAGGCAAATGTTATGCCTTTCTCATTCATGTGACCCAAACCACTGGAAGCCATGGCAGACCAAGAGAGAAATTCACTATAATCACTATAAAGTGATAAAATAAATGAGAAACAGTGTTTTCAAACCCAGTAAAGAGAATCACTTTGGAACAGCAATTCCCTGTTTTTGCTGACTTTTATTCCACTGTTGATTTAACTCTGGATAGGTGTGCAGTGTATAATACCAAACTATGGCTTAATGGGACCTTGTGAAGGTGTCACAGTCACTTATTTCCTCCCCAGTCTTTATTACTCCCACAACTAAGCCCAGTTTTAACTTCACATGCCACCTGAACCTGGGTTTGTAGTTATAAACTCTCCTTAGCTGTGATTCCTGCATTGTGGGGAGCTGGACCAGGTGACGCTTGGGGTTCCTTCCAGTTGTACAATTCTATGATTCCTTGCTACAGCCAAGAACAAACTTTGCACGGGAGTTGGGAAGACTAGGGCAGAGCAATGTGACTACAACCTCCTCTTGAGGCGGCCCATTTGCATGGTCCTGGTGAGCCATAGTTTGGCTTACTGTGTCATGTGAACCAAGTCAATGGGTGTTGCTGATTTCAGGCACAAATGAGATCAGAACAATATTGTTTCTTTTCAAATATTTCATTTTTTACTTTGATAGACTACAGTCATTAAGGGACAGTGCTCAAGAACATTGTTGTCAGGGGGGAGGGGGAATAGCCTGTAGCTTCTCTTTCAGTTCTAATTATTGTGTGTATATTTTCTCTTCACTAAAGATATGTATCAACATTGAAAACGTATGTAAAAAATACAATACAGCAAAGTAAAGCACCGTGGAAAACCATAGGACCACCAAAAGTCCAGGTGCCAAATCCAAAAGACTTCCTTCAGAAACATTCAAAGGAACCAAAGTTACCACAGAGTATGTTTCATTAATTTGTATATGTTTATTAAATGTATACCATTTATATGTCTCTTTTTCCAGTGCATAGAATCATAGAATCATAGTCCCAACTCCCTGCAGTGCAGGAATCTAAACGAAAGCATCCATGACAAATGGCCATCCAATGCCTGCTTAAAAACCTCCAATGAAGGAGAGTCCACAACCTCCCAAAGGAGACTGCTCCACTGCTGAACAGCTCTAACTGTCAGAAAGTTCTTCCTGTTGTTTAGCTGTAATCTCCTTTCTTGTAACTTGAAGCTTTTGGTTCAAGTTCTACCCTCCAGACCAAGAGAAAACAAGCTTGCTCCATCTTCCACGTGACAGCCCTTAAGATATTTGAAGGTGGCTATCATATCTAGCCATGTTCAAATATATAAAAGGATGTCACATAGAGGAGGGAGAAAGGTTGTTTTCTGCTGCTCCAGAGAAGCGGACACGGAGCAATGGATCCAAACTACAAGAAAGAAGATTCCACCTAAACATTAGGAAGAACTTCCTGACAGTAAGAGCTGTTCGACAGTGGAATTTGCTGCCAAGGAGTGTGGTGGAGTCTCCTTCTTTGGAGGTCTTTAAGCAGAGGCTTGACAACCATATGTCAGGAGTGCTCTGATGGTGTTTCCTGCTTGGCAGGGGGTTGGACTCGATGGCCCTTGTGGTCTCTTCCAACTCTATGATTCTATGATTCTATATCTCCTCTCAGTCTCCTCTTTTCCAGGCTAAACATACCCAGTACCTTCAGCCACTCCTCATAAGGCTTGGTACAAAGCAAAAGAACAAATCGTGTAAAAATATCTGTAAATTCAAGATAAAAACTCTGCAGCCAAGAACAGAAATCAGCCATTCCAATTCATTCTCAGAAGAAATCTCCAAAACCTGGTGAGAAACGATGTGCGATATTAACCTCCTTTCTCACCAAGAGGAAAAAGTATTCAGTTCTAGAGTGAGATCATCCCACAGACTTGGGGCCACTGCTGTAAAAGCCCTACTTCTAGCAGCAGATATAAGGATTGCCTGCAGAGATGGTAACTGCTGAACACAGGGAGCAGGGAGCTGATATAATGAAAGCCTACCAAACCTAAGCCTAGATATTTATTTCATTTTAATCTCATCCTTTATCTGAGCAGTGCTCATCAGCGTTGTTCTCCCCCCCGCCCCAATTTTATTCTAATGGCTATGATTAGAAGATATAAAGACTTGCCCAAAGTCAGTACCATTGCTAACTAGTTATTTGTATCCCAGTCTCCCTAAGCCTGGTGTAATATTCTGACTATACCACATTGATGAGTATCCCAGGCCATGTAAAATTCCACTACAATTTTACCCAGGTTAACATCCAGTAATATCTACTGTAATCTCTTGGACACATGGGCAATTCTGTTCTAGTGATTTTAAGGACCATATGTTAGTTGGCTGGTTGTTTAGTTTTTGCCTCTGATCTGGATGTGCAAGGCTAGACATCAAGGCTTTTGTTAATCATGCCAAGTCTGCATATTATAAGGAAGACTTAAGTTGGCCAATCCACACCATGCTTGGGAAAGCTCAGCTATTTAATAGAGATCTCCACTGAAGTCCCCTTATAGTGCTTAAAATGCAAGTGTTTGCTTATAAATGTATATATTGTCAGAAAGAGTGGTTATAGAATGTGACATTTTGTTTTCACAAATGGATTTTGGGAATTGTGACAAGGCCAGGACCATTACAGTTGGACCCCAAGTAATCAGGAGCCTCAGCGTTGCTGACTCCAAATGTTTTTCTAATATTATTATTTGTTAGATACATACTACAAAAAAAGTTTCAGTGTGACATGCAATATGAAAAATAGGGTTAGGAAAAACAAAAAAGATACAAAAAAATTAACAAGAACAAGAAACATTTAAAATGTGCATAGACTAATTATAAAAGCAGCAGACAAGAACTCACCTCCCTCCAACTACATACACACAATGACACAAAAAAAGGTATGAAACTTTTCAAAATAATGAGTGTGGGTATTTTCCTGAAGCACAATATAGTGTGGTTTTTTAATGTACATTTAGTTAGCTTTTTAAGCCTTTATGGCAATATGTCATCAAATTGTTTTGTTTCTTTCCACAACTATTTTGAAATGTATCTTTTGCCCTTCACTGGGATGTCTTGGGCAATGGCTTAAATATTGTTCATCTTGATAGTTTACAGCAGTTACTTTATTCATTTATCATCCAGGACATGACAAGCCCCTCTCTACCTAGTCCTTCGTGAACTGTCACCTCTCACTTCTTACACATCACTTCTTATACTTGCTGCTCCCCAAAATAATCCTCCTTATGATGCAAAGTGTCATAAGGAAACAAGCTGTCTAGGGCTGAAAGATCAGAATCCAGAAAATTGGAGGCAAAGGTGAAGGTTGAATTAAAGGCATAGACTTAGCAGAATCCTGTGCCACGTAGATGAACATTTTAAAAAGTGTGATTCATTTTGTGGCTTTTTATTTTTTTTAAAAAACAGGAAATAAACATCAAGGAGGTAAGAAAGTGAAACCAGGTGTGCCTAAATTGTCAGATCACCCACTCATGGGAATTCAGAGTTCAAAGAATTTCATAAGCACAAATGCAGCTAATGTCATCATGGGAGTGCCTAAGAAACCTCTACCAGCTTGTGTTGACCGACGACAAGGCGACAAATACGTCCTTGAAACTTCAGGACTCGTTCCAAAATATCTCAAGAAAAAGGTATGCCTTATCAAAATGATGTGGTGCATTTACTAACAGTGAAATGCTATACATGCCTCCTTAGACATAAGTCCTGTTGAGTTAAATGGGGTTTACTCCCAGGCAACATCAACCCATTTGCCTTGTGGGAATCCCTTGTGGACGACCCCAGTGCTTGGAGACAGGCAGTCAAGTCGTGTATCCATAGCAGTGACCAAAAGAGAAAAGACTGCTTGAAGGAGCACAGAGAGAAGAAACGCCGTGGTACATCTGCAGCAGCACAACTGGATGCCTTCATCTGCAACATAACATGTCTCTCCCACATTGCTCTCTACAGCCATAGCAGGCGCTGCAACCTTTCAACAGCTTGACCTCACCCCCAAAGGCGCACTCCTTCATTGTCTCCCGAGACAGACAGGTGCCAATATCAACTCCCAAGCATAGGACTGCAACATAAGGCTTACTTATTTGCAATACTGAGTGAGCCAGATGAGCCATTGGTGTGATCCAGAAGGCTCCTCTTATGTTCTTAGGGCACGGGCAAAATTTTTAGAAACCAGAAGTGCCTGACCCTGAATATCTTTGTTGGGAATCTTAGTATTTTTAGCCAAAGTGAAGTAGTGGACATTAATGAGAAGTAGGGATATTTTTGAGTATTTTATAAAAGGTGTTAGATGTTTAATATCATAACTGAAATCACATGTATTTAAAAGCAACAACAGATCAACTGGAGAATCCCATCCATCTCCAGATCAGTCCCTTTGCTCACAAGGGTACCAGCTACATCCCCCTTCCTATTCATAGGAAATGGAATAATTTTTCTGCTAAGGCTGCAATCCTGTATCTACTTACCTGGGAATTAGCAGCATTGAATTATGTGGGGCTTACGTCTGAGTTGGTATGTATAGGAGGATTGCACTGTGAATCTATAGTTCTGAAGTCTAAAGGTCCCTAGCCAACATTTCCATAAATTTTAGAGGCTTAGTGTGTGTTTCTCCATTATTTTTCTATTTCTAAGGTTTTTTGGTACTTTTGCAAAACCTCATGCCTGTTGATGTGTCCCACTTGCCTGTAGATGCTGCTTTTGGCTACATAAGGATTCATACCCAAATGAATGAGTACACTATTAGTATATACTAGGATTAATTAGAAAAAGTTCAAAGTAGTCTTTTTCTTTCTAAAAAAAAGAAAAGCAAAAAAAGTTATATTACATAAGGGTCTTTGTTGTTGATGACGACAACAACAACAAAAAATATATATGAATATCTGGAAGGTGCATTTTTCTTGTAGGATTACGGCATTACTCCGAAATATGTAACTAAGCGAAATGAAGAAGTAAAGAGAGCTCAGGAAGAATATGATGCCTATGTCAAGGAAACTCTCAGACAAAAAGCCATGAAACGGCTCTCTGATGAAGACAGGGACAGTCTTCTTGAGGTATGTGGGTTGACTTGAATTAGACAGACTGAGGCATAAAAGATACATTGGTACAGGCACGAATGGGAAAGGCTTTATGAATAGCAGTGCAACTAAGAAGGGTAGATTTTCACTAGATGGAGCTCTAAAATAGTTATCTGCAGGACTGAGCAAGTTGGATGTGACAGAAATGTTTACAAAGTCTTTTCTGGAGGCTAGATTCCATATCATCACACACTTAATTGCGTCAGCAGTAGTGGACCACTGTGGAGCCCAACTGCAGTTAAAGGCATGTCAAAAGGTTTTGTCCCACTTTAAAGAATAATCGGTAGCCAACATCTTGAGTTTTTTTCTTACGTTACAGTGTGCGGAAAATACAGTTGTGCAAGGCAATCTGTGCATGCTTAATATGAAGTAAATCCCATGGTGTTCAGTGCACCTCACTCCCAGGAAAATGTATATAGGACTGTGAGCCTATAAATGTTTACTCAGAGGAAAGCCTTACTGAGTTCAGTGGAGCTTAGCTTCCACTCAGCTGAGTATAGCAGCCTTTCTCAAACTTGTGACCTCCAGCTGTTTCTGGAGTCTCAACAATCATGGCCAGTGGATAGGGATAATACGAGTATATATATATATACACACACACACACACACACACACATACTCAGAAGAAAATTGCATGGAGATCAATGGGGCTTATTCCAGTGTAAGTATGCATTGCAGGGTGGTGAACTGCTGCCCTGCAGGCTGAACCATTAAGCAATTTATTTATTTTTACCCCTCCAACATGTACCAATTTTTGCCTGCAGCAGTAGCAGAATCTGCATCAAGTAACAACACAGCATTGGGCTGGGCAGAGAGATAAGCCCAGCCTCTTAATGGGAAGGGAAGCACCAACTTCCCCACTCTTCAGATCAATAGTCTGAAGAGGCGCAGGGGGCACAATTCCCCCACCACTCTGTGATGCTAAACTGGGCAGAGGTCCCTAGTATGTGTCTTCTAGTCATGTATTTATGTGTACCTGCATTTGTATGTGTGCTCTGATGTGTGAACCTGTATGCGTGTATATATGGTGTGCGAATGCATGTATGAATATAGGGTGGCTTCCCAGAGGGCTTGTATAAGATTGCAGCCTTATTGTGTTACTGTATAATGCTGCCCGTATACTAATTCGTCTCTTTGTATACTCCAAATAGGGTCTTAAGAAGAATTGGGAAGACGTGCATCACCAATTCCAAAGCCTTTCCGTTGAAATAGACACACTACCAAAGAAACTTCACAAAGAAAGGCTGGAAGCAGAGATGAAACAGCTGGAACATGACATTCAGACAATTGAGAAACACAGAATCATTTATATTGCAAACAAATGATCAGGGCATCCTTGTTGGGGGGGGGAATCCTCTGAGATGAAAACAAATATTACTTTTACTATAGAAGCACAAAATACCCATATATTCATCTGTAGGTTAATATTTAGGTTTTGACAAGTAGAACTTTAGCTATATATTAGTTTTGAAAGTTTTAAAATATCTATTTTTTTCCAAATAAATATATCTATTTATTTATTTCCTGATTGTTCAGTGACCTATACTTTATTTTTAAAAAACACCCCAAAAGTTTAATTGTTCATGTAACATGATGTACAGCAATAATTCAAATAAGATGATAAATTAAGAGAGTATGGGAAATATATGTATAATAAAGAGTTGCTAACCAAAGCTCCAAGTTCCTTCTATTTATGGTTTGGATTCTAGATTACCCAACAGCCAGGAAACGGTGTAATCTTCCTTTAAAGGTGAAAATAGGGGCAGTAAATGGAATGTGATGCTCACCAAAGCAGCTCTATAAATCCAAAGCACTTGATGTTTAAGGCATGCTCAAAGAACAGGTATATTCCAGGATTAAAGTATTACAAGATTTAGTGAACAAGACAAAGTTAGACCCATTGCAGCTCCTACATCTTGCCAAATTGTCTAGCTTTACAGCACTTCCAAACCACATTTGCATTTAAGGTCATGGGAATGTGAGCAAGCTTTGTCATCACAAGTCCAAAACATTAAGATTTTTTGTGGGTTAGAACTGAGGCATGAACTCTGCTTCACACATTAACTGCACTGTATACAACGCAAATGGCATTGTACTAGGCTGTGCATGTTCCAGACTTGCAGAGCATTCTAAATTTCCCTTCTGCCAGGGTTAGACTGAATTACGGTATCCTTCCACTCAGCTCTGCCTTCTGAACCTGCCTCCCAGTGGCTTCTGAATGTGTGGACGAGTGGGAAGCCTGCTTGTGGTAAGGGCTAGCAGAAAGCCCCCAAACAGTGAGGGGCTGAGACAGTCTGGGATCCATTGCATCCCAAGCTAATCCCACTGCCATCATGTAACAGCATCAATCCTGATCAGATTCAGTTGCTGAGGGAGCTGGAGCAGCAATTGGGCTCAGTCCTCTCCCACCATCCACTACAACTACCATGAGCAGCTGAGCTGTGGAAATGACAGTGGTTCCACCCCCCTGCAAAGCCCTGCCAATGGTGTTTGGATTGTGTCCTAAATCACATACAGGACATCCTCCTCACCAAACTTCACAGAAAGTCCCTGGAATTGCAAATATCCCTGTTAATTGCCTGGTTCATATACACCAGCATGGGACGGTTTGTTTAACAAATCACACAACTTCTACTGCAAATGATAAAGCAAACCATCGTTTATTTCTCCAAAGGTTTTTTTTGTTTTCTAGCTGTTTTTGTCTCATGCCTTTGTCTTTTAGTGAGCTCCTGGTGTGGGATGGTCAAACAAACCATGGTTAAAGAAGCAATACTGCATAATGTCAAGCTATAGTTAAAACAAGTGAAGATTTGTAAGATTTGTAATCATGGCTTCAGATCATGGTGTTGGCAGTAAAACCATAGGTAAGCTGCTGGGCAGGGCTCAGGCATAGCGCTAAGCCATGGTTCAACAAACCATAGTTATGCCATAGTTCAGTGTTGCATGTGTCTCAGCAGCTTGGGACAAGGCAAATTGTTCCTGCTTTCACTTCAGGGTGGGAATTGGGCGGTGAATAAGAGTCAATGCCTTATTAAATAATTCTCTGTCATTTATCAGAATACTGTAATGGCTTTTTAAAAAGTAATTAGATATAGGTCAGTTCATCCCACGGGCTGTTTGTACCCTTAAAGGTAAAGGGTAAAGGGACCCCTGACCATTAATTAGGTCCAGTCATGGCCGACTCTGGGGTTGCGGCACTCATCTCGCTTTTGGCCGAGGGAGCCGGCGTACAGCTTCCGGGTCATGTGGCCAGCATGACTAAGCCGCTTCTGGCGAACCAGAGCACGGAAATGCCGTCTTCCTTTCCGCTAGAGCGGTACCTATTTATCTACTTGCTCTTTGACGTGCTTTCGAACTGCTAGGTGGGCAGGAGCAGGGACCGAGTAACGGGAGCTCACCCCGTCACGGGGATTCGAACTGCCGACCTTCTGATCAGCAGGTCCTAGGCTCTGTGGTTTAACCCACAGCGCCACCCGCGTCCCATTTATACTTCACCAGAATCCAACCTGAATAAAAATGACTTGCAGCGCTACTGCCGAAAGATGCATAGGATACATTCAGCTATGACACTGACCATTAACCAAGGCTAGGCAAATTAATTTGTGCATGAGCTATGTGCCATTGTATTTAGCCCACACACTTCCCACCTTTCTCTCAGTGAGGAAGCAAACAATGAAAAGGCTGGCTTAGTGTTACACCCAAAGCCATGCTCGTTTATTTCTCCTAAGCAAATTGTGATTGGCGAGCTTGTCCTAGTCTTCACTGCCATGGTTTGTGAGCAACCACAAGCTGCTGGTTCAGAAATAATGCTAGGACAGCTGCTCTATGGTTTGTTTCCCGTTCATTCTGCACCCAAGTGTCAATGGTGCTCCTCTTTCCCTCTTCTTACGGTGCCAGTGTTGTGCTCTGCCAGTCTTTGAACACCACAATGGAACAGGATGATCTTTGCTACTTGATGCACATGGAAGCATCTATCAAGTCAACATATGGAACGGACATATCTCTTTCCATTTAAAACAGATGTGTACTTTTCATAAAGGTCATCAGCATGGCTGATTACTGGGGGTGGGGGGAATTGCTGTAATGAAAAACATTCAAGCTACAGACACATGGAAAACATTCTTATTCAATTCTCTCTCTCCAGGAAGTTTGACAAAATACATTTAGAGAATCCTAGGAATGTTGTTCTATCTTTATGTATATGTAAAAGAACTGCCAGCGATGGGATTGGCAGCATTTTTCAATTGGCTCGTGTGCCCTTGCCAGTATAGCAAAAGGAACAAAGGTGAATAAACACAATTGAGATTTCATTAGAATTCTTTCTTTCATTAGAACACTAAGAAGAAATGTCAAGTTGTTTTTATAGGACAATCTGTTCTCATTGCTGTTTGGTGTATGTTGACTTGCACCAATTATGAACACATGAAGCTGCCTGAGATCCTTGTTCTCTCTAACCTGTGTCAGTCTCCCAATATTTCAGGCCCAAAGCTATCTGAGCTCTTTAGAACCTGGGACCTTCAACATGTAACCTATGGCCCAGTTTGCATGTCACAGTAAACCATAATTTATTAGTGCAAAGGAAATTAACCACAATCTCAGTGTTAACGGTGTGTTGGGTAGGAGCAGAGGGGGTATTTCACTCTCAGCCAACAACATTCTGTTGTGAAGGTTTGATCTTGGCTTACTGATTGTGGTTTCTATGGGTGAAATTGGTTTGTTCACAGTAAACCACTAGTATATATTGGCATAATCCGTTAAGGGACACGGGTGGCACTGTGCGTTAAACCACAGAGCCTAGGGCTTGGTTGGCGGTTCGAATCCCCGCGAAGGGGTGAACTCCCATTGCTCAGTCCCTGCTCCTGCCAACCTAGCAGTTCGAAAGCAGGCAGTACAAGTAGATAAATAGGTACCGCTCTGACAGGAAGGTAAACAGCGTTTCCGTGCACTGCTCTGGTTCACCAGAAAGCGGCTTTGTCATGCTGGCCACATGACCCGGAAGCTGTACGCCCACTCCCTTGGCCAGTAAAGCAAGATGAGCGCCGCAACCCCAGAGTCGTTCACGACTGGACCTAATAGTCAGGGGTCCCTTTACCTTTTACCTATGATGTGTTAACTGAACCAATGGCAGACCTTATTCGTTCTGAAAGGGTAAACCTGGGGTCGAGGGCCAGCTACATGTTACATTCAATGCACAACTATTGTTTGTTTCAAAATTGCCATGGGCAGCACACAGGGAAAGGCTTAATTCCTTTCCCTTGGCTTTAGTTCTTCCACCCCAAAACACTGTTTGCTTTTAACCGATAAGCAGAAAGTGGTGTAATGCTAAAATTAAAACCAGTGTGGTGCAGTGGTTAGGGCATTGGGCTACGATCTGGGAAGCCAAGGTTCAAATGCCCACCCAGCTAATAAAATCAATGAGTGGTCTAGGGCAAATCACTGCCTCTCAGGAAGATCTGGTCACTAGGCTTTTAGGAAGCAGCTGGTTTCCATCCCAGCTGTTATGTATAAAAAAGTTGTAACATTAAGAATTTGTTTGTTTTCGTCTTTTCTCTCCAAACCTCCCCCCCCCTTTTGTGTCCCATCTTTTCAGATTGTAAACCTGAGGGCAGCAGATGTGCTGTTTTCATTTATCAGTATGCCACTCCAGAAACTTTCTGGTTGAAGAGTAGAGTATAAATGCTTCAAATAAATAAATACTACCACATTTGATTTGGCATAAGTTTCTGTGGACAAGAGATTATTTCATCAAGTGCATGGAAGGCTGTCTTCAGTTGCCATCAGTGAATTATGTAGGTGATGAAGTGGTCTTTGGTCCACTGAGGTTTATCCTACAATATATGCTAGCCTTTAGGGTACCACAGGGTCTCTACCACGGGGTCTCTTATGTTGTGCAACACTCACCCATCTGAAATCTATGGGCTGGATGCAGACAAAGGCTGCAATCTGGGAGAAAGCGCTGTTAAACCCAATGAGTTCTAAGAAGACATTAATAGTATTACTTGAACTAAGGTCCCAATATACTTAATTGGGACAAATTAGTCATGACACCAATGTCAGTGGGAACTGTCTGCACACACAGTCCTGCGTCTGCTCAGAAGCCCCATTAAGTACAATAAAACTTATTCCCCAGTTAAATCAGCCTGGATCCAACCTCATGTGTGTAAGATTGCAGACTCAGAGACACTCTTATATTTATATCCCCCTTTTCTTCCTTTCAACCTGGAACCAGGCCCGCTTCAGGCCCGCTTCCCTTCACAAGGCAGTGGTCTCCCAGGCTTTAGGCTTCCTAAGACCTAGGTTCAAATCGCGCGTTCCTCAAAGAAGCTCCCCAGTGGGGTTGCTGTAGCAAATTTCAAGCGGAGAGGGAGCAGCTGCTTTGAGCTGTGCTCCTTGAAGGAACTTAACAGGCCCGAGCGCGGGCATTAGAAAAAAAAGGTTCCGGGGCTGAAACCGGGGACAGACAGCTCTTTTGGTCCGTCGAGGTAAAAGCAAGCCCTGCCCAAAGTTAGGTGGTTTGAGAGGCATCACCCCCTCTCTGCGCCAGCTGGAAGAAACCCCCCTAAGGGCGGGTGTGGATGTCTGGGAGCAGTTCTGCAGAAGCCACGACGGCGCGGGCCACGTCTAGCAGAGGCTGCAGAGGCTCAATCAACCTCTTGCGGCAGCGGCCGGAGGCTCCTTTTCTTTCCCGAGCGAGGCGCCGCCTCTTTTCCCTCCTCCTCCTCCTCCTCCTCCTCCGTCTCAAGGCTCTCGCCAACCTCCTTTCGGAAGATGGCCGGGCTAAACAGTAAGACCCACGCAGCGGAGGCGCCGAGAAGCAGCGGCCGAGGGGTCGTGGTAAATGCAAAAAAATAAAAATAAAAACCCCTTCTCCCCCTCCCTCCCCTGCTCCCGCATCCAAACCTTTGCTGCCTCCCTTCTGCAGCTAAAGCATCCGCTTCCGTCAGCTAACCCCTTTCCCTCCCTTTCATCTATCCAATCCCTGCCCTTTATGGCGGCTCCCCCCCCCTCCTGTTATGAAACGCTCCCCGCCCGCCCCCCCCAAAAGAATATTTGAATTGCAAGCGGGTTAGTCATTCATTGCGCTCGATGGGGCTCGCTCCCTGTCTGCTGTGCTGAGCCCGCTTATCTGGGAGAACCCCCCCCCCATTGAACCCAGTTAGGGTTTACATCCGAGTCAACGTGCATAGATAGGAACTGGGCTGCGCGAGTATGCATTCCGGTACATTGAAATATGATGCATGTTGTTTACCACTGTTTTCCCTTGGGATTTCCCCCTGGTAAGTATGTATAGGAAAGCAGCCTTATTGCTAGCACACACACACACAAATATTTTGGATGCGATTTCGTTGGGGGTTCTGATACGTGTTTTGGTTAGAGAAGAGTTGTTCCTTCTAGATTAATTGTCACCTTAAGAGTGAAATGCCGCAGCTACAACTTCGTAATTTCATCTAAAATAGTCTTGGCTTTGTAGAAATCCATTCAGTGCAGCCACCGCCACCCAAAAAACAGCAACGCGTCGTCCTAGCACAGCAAGTAAAACTTCTGTGGGAGAAAAGCACAACAATACTCTAAATTTTCCTCACTAGGTGCTGTATATTAAAATGTATATTTTTGTGCGTAGCAATCCCTAATTGCAGCCATCAGAATGTATTACCTCACCTGCAGCCATAATTACGGCATGGGGGGGGGGAGGAAGGTTTTGGTATTGCTTAGCCTCCCGGATTAGCAGGTTCACAACAGGTGTGCTTAAAAGAATGTTTAGATACAGCTAGGCAATCTTAAGGTGTGCATTCTTATCAAACATTAACTGTTTTCTATTCCTATGTACTCTTCAGGGTGCAGGTAATAAGTACAGCTGTCTTCTGAATAAATAAATCGCAAAGCCCAGTCCTAGGCATGTTTACTCTGAAGTAAAAGTGTTACTTTGGACAATGTTGCTTACTCCCAGGCACATATGCATAGGATTTTACTGTTACTCATGTCTCTAGTTTACTGGTTGTTAATAGCTTAAGACAGTCTTGACCCTAAGCACCCACTTGGCAGACCTAGACAAAAAGGAGTTGCATGTACGCCAGGGACTGTGCCCTTCTTCTGCACCTGGCATAGATACCACTTATTATAGGAAAACGAAAATAGGCCTTTGTTCTGATCCAGCAAGCCTGCTCTTAGGTGCTTTCTCTGCCTTTCTCTGAAGGGCTTCCCTTGAACCCCTGTCTCCTGTGTTTACCTTGTCTTAGATTGACAGAAGTGTTTGGGTCACGGAAGGAGGAAGCAAACCTCTGCTTTGGCAGTATTATATACATGCCCACAGCGTTTTATGACAATTCTGTTCATTTCCTTAAACCAGGGCTAGCCAGTGTTATTCCTTCCAGATGTTTTTAGACTGCAGCTTCCACCAGACCTGATCACAGGCTGTGGTGGCTGGAGCTGACATGATTTGGGAAGCCTGACAACATCTGGAGGGCGCCATGTTGGCTACCCTTGCTTTAAACTGTCCGAGAGTCCTGGGGTTTGGGCACATATAGCAAAGTTCTTACGGTACTTGATACAGAATGGAAGATTTGTGTTAGGGGAATGCGATGTATTTCCCCACAAGAGCTGCCTAGAGTGCAAGGATATGTTGCTCCTTTCCACATGTCTTGGCACATTGTAGAAAACTCTGTTATGGCGATATGTTACCATTCCAAAAAAAGAATACAGTAGTACCTCAAGTTACTGATGCTTCAGGTTACATATGCTACAGGTTACATACTCTGCTAACCCAGAAATAGTACCTCAGGTTAAGAACTTTGCTTCAGGATGAGAACAGAAATCGTGCTCTGGCGGCGCAGCAGCAGCAGGAGGCCCCATTAGCTAAAGTGGTGCTTCAGGTTAAGAACAGTTTCAGGTTAAGAATGGACCTCCGGAACGAATTAAGTACTTAACCCGAGGTAGCACTGTAATGTTGTTTTTTTACTGCATTTGATTTACCAGACAAATGTCAACCTTTTATTTATGCATTGCCTTCCATGTTCATCTCAAGGCAGTGTACAAAATGCAATAAAAACAGTTTTAAACAATATGGAAAATAGCAGCAAAGTAAAACACACACACACACACACACACACACACACAAAGACCAAATAGACACCTGTGGCAAAGATCCTTTCATCCTGCTGGGAAGGCTTGTCAGAACAAAAATGTATTCACTTGTTTCCGGAAAGGGCAGGATGTGGGACACCTGTCACATTTTGGCAAGAATGCTGCTTGCACAGAACATGGGCAGCCACACTAAAAGCTCTCCTGTGAGTTACTGCAGACTGGGCTTCTGAGATCTTTGGAACATGTGGAAAGGAGAAGCTCTCCTACAAGGAAAGAGTCTTAATGAAGTTGCAGCATTTCCTACTAAGTTCTTATTCTACGGGAGTAGCCTCACGTACTTTTGATGCAGAAATCCTGCGCTCTCTTCGGCAGCACATATATTCTAAAATTGTAACGATACAGAGAAGAGGAATGCAGAACTCCCATGCAAATTTCTACATGAATTGAGTTTGTTGCTGCGTCGCTTGTATGCTAATAATCTCTTGCAGAAGGTTACTAGCCTAGATTTTTGACTTGCTAACTCTAAAACGAGGATGAGCAATAAGGGACTAACCCATAGACTTTTGCAGGGTTGTTTTCCGCAATCATGCAGTTACGGACAAAATGACATTTTAACTTTGAACTTTTGCCCAGATGAACCGTGAAATGATCCATTCCAGTATCCTCTTGTGAAAGCTGTCCAAGGGAAACTCAGCCAAGGCAAGATGTTCCAGCACTAGTTCAGAATGCATTCAGAACAGAGCACATACTGATGGCTTGGAGGCCAGAAGTAGTCTTCCCTGTTCTTGCTAGAATACTAAAAAGGCCCAAGAAGCACCATGTGATCCCCATGTGATCTTCTGGTTCACTCGCTACCTTCTGCCTGAGGTGAAGAAGAATGTTTGAGCGAGCCAAAGGCCCTCTTCCAAGCACAACCCAAGTAGATTCCTGCAGAGAGATAGATTGTCGCTGCATGTCCAAAGACTAATTTGCTAGGACTTGAAGCCAGAGAGAACTTTTCACTCTCGTTTTTTTTTTTAGAAGAGGGGTAGCAGAAACAACAAAGAGTTTTATGGCTCCGTCAAGACCAAACACGTTTGTTTGGCATAATTTTTTGTGGGCTACAGCCCACTTCAAGAGGTGAGTCAGGCTGCATCTGATGGGAGAGGGCTGTCGTCCACGAAAGCTTAAGCCGTAAGAAATGTGTTTAGCCCTGAGAATGCCACAAAACACCACTATTTATTGTTGTCTCTTTTGTTCTAAGTTAACCCACTTTAGATCATTTCTTAGAAACAAGGCTTCCTATTAAAACAAGGCTGAGGAACCTTCCCCCCCTCCAAACCCAGCAATATGCTGGCAGTAGCTTGGAGGAGGGACAGGGATGGGTAAGACCACCCCTTTCTCCTCTTTCACTCCTTGCCCACCCCCCACTTCAAATCTTCTTTGTTCTCTTTGCCCAGCAAACCAACAGGAGAGCAGCAAATCAGTCTTGCCAGAAATGTGAATCAATTGCTTGCATAAAAAAAGGTAAATGGACCCTTGACAGTTATGTCCAGTCACAGACGACTCTGGGGTTGTGGCACTCATCTCGCTTTACAGGCTGAGGGAACTGGCGTTTGTCTGAGACAGTTTTTCCGGGTCATGTGGCCGCATGGCTAAGCCGCTTCTGGCGCAACAGAACACTGAAACCAGAGCAGCACACGGAAATGCCGTTTACCTTCCCGCTGGAGCAGTACCTATTTATCTACTTGCACTTTTTGGGATGCTTTTGAACTGCTAAGGTTGGCAGGAGCTGGGACCAAGAAACAGGCGCTCACCCTGTTGCGGGGATTCGAACCGCCAACCTTCTGATCGGCAAGCCCAAGAGGCTCAGTGGTTTAGAACACAGCGCCGCCCGCGTCCCTAATCGCTTGCATGGGGGTTCCATTAGTTTCAGCTTTTTTTGTCTCCCCCCCCCTTCTGGGTTTCCCTCCCCCCAACATGAAATTAGGGTGATGGTTGCAAGTTCCCCACCTCTGTGCTGAAGGATCAAGCCATGCGCAGGTTTCCATGACTCTGTTTCTGCTAAACCAATTGTCAAATGGTGTTTAAACACAGATGATGCAATCAGTTTGTAGTGCACACAAAATTAAATTTCTAATGAACATTTTATCTCTTTTACAGATTTCAGATGATTGGCCTGGGTATAGCTTGGAACTGTTTACATATCCACAACACTACTATGGAGATCTTGACTATGTGCTCATACCACATGGGATCATTGTGGACAGGTGAGGGTCTGAGAGTATGACGTTTATAAAAGCTACATGTTCAGTTCCTCCCAAGGTAGGAACAGCCCATTTAATATCTTGCTCGCTAAAATATTGACACCCCAATTTAAGCTGTAATGCTTATTGTAACAGGAAGCCTAAAAGCTCGCTCTCTTCCTAGCCTGGGACCAGGAATAAGTTCCCGTCTCTCTCTCAGCTGGACTATGCTGTTATCAGCTCTGCTTTCCCCTCTGACCTTGAGGCAAGGTCTGCAAGATTCAGGACAAACAAACAGAAATACCTTTTCACACAGGATGTAGTTAAATTGTGGAATTCTCTCCCACAAGAGGTAGTGGTGGCCAGCATTTTGGGTGGCTTTAAAAGAGGATCGGACGAATTCACAGAGGATGGGGCCATTCATGGCTGCTAGCCACAACGGCTGTGTTCCACAGTCAAGGAATTGTTGTTGTTTAGTCATTTAGTCGTGTCCGACTTTTCGTGACCCCATGGACCAGAGCACGCCAGGCACTCCTGTTTTCCACTGCCTCCCACAGTTTGGTCAAACTCATGCTGGTAGCTTCAAGAACACTGTCCAACCATCTCGCCTCTGTCGTCCCCTTCTCCTTGTGCCCTCCATCTTTCCAGGGAGTCTTCTCTTCTCATGAGGTGGCCAAAGTATTGGAGCCTCAGCTTCATGATCTGTCCTTCCAGTGAGCACTCAGAGCTGATTTCCTTAAGAATGGAGAGGTTTGATCTTCTTGCAGTCCATGGAACTCTCAAGAGTCTCCTCCAGCACCATAATTCAAAAGCATCAATTCTTCGGCGATCAGCCTTCTTTATGATCCAGCTCTCACTTCCATACATCACTACTGGGAAAACCATAGCTTTAACTATACGGACCTTTGTTGGCAAGGTGATGTCCCTGCTTTTTTAGGGTGCTGTCTAGACAGTCAAGGAAGCACACTCCTAAATACCAGTTGCTGGAAGTTGCAGGTGGGGAGAGGACATCTGATTAGCCACTGTGAGAACAGAGTGCTAGACTAGATGGGCCTTGGGCCTGATCCAGCAGGCTCTTTATGTTGTTATGAGTATGAAGATGAGGGAGCATCCAGCCCCACACCTGCCCCTAAGAGAGCAGGGCCTTCTTGCTTTCCTCCAATTCCCCCTCAGCATGAATGAGCAGCATGGAATAAAAGACATCTAGGCATGGTGCAGTCGCAAATGCACATCGCCCCCGGCAGCTAATTTTAAGAGGATTTATTAAAAACCAGGCTTAAGGGAGTCAAAAGGAGAAAGCAGAAGGGCGTATGGAATACACTGAAGAAACATTCCATGTTTGTGTAACCCAATGCAACTGTTTACAAACAAGCTTCTGGTCTCCTCATGAGTAGTAACATGGCTGGTCAGGAGGACAGTGAGAGACAACAGACTAAAGCCAACATTCAAAGGGATAATTATTGCCAGATTTTGCCTGCGAGATGACAGGCTTCCTTCAGCTTGTGTATCGTGGGCTTGGCCAGAGTTACCTGGTCTGCCAACTGCTAGGAAATGGAAGCTGAGCAACCTGGAAGTGTTTAAACAGACAGGCTGGGAGTAGGCCACAACTGCACCATGGTTACCGCAGTTACTGGTATGTAAGCTCAATTGAAATTGGGGAGATGTGTTTCCACGTAACTATTTAGGGTGGAGATGCTGAATACCCATTCAAGAAGGTGGACTCAGTGACACATTTATGCAGCTCTGGTAAAGACAGGGCACTTTCCTGGTATTGCATCGATGGGTACAGATTTTTAAGTCTTGGTTCTTTTATTATTTCATCTATTCATATACATCTTGTTTTATTTATATACTACTTAATGCCAAAATTAGGCTTCCAATTTTTTCTCATTTCCTGTTCTTAATAAGTACAAGTTGTGACTTGTTTATACTAGATACCTGTAACCAGTGCTTTTTTTCTAGAAAAATAGGTGCCGGTACTCACCATGACATTGTTACAGTTAGTGTCACATTTTTTAACCAAAAGAGAGAAAGGTGCTGGTACTGTGTACCCTTAAGTCCCCCTTGAAAAAGAAATGTAGCCCTTCTTCTTAATGAGACGGTTACTATTCTGCATCAAGCTAACATTCAGATGTTATGGCTATTATGTGGCCTGTGCTAACCATGGTTGGAGCTTCCAGATGTACAACAGGCAAACCGTGGTTTAGAGTGGTTTGCCCACTTTCATTTTTCACCCTTTCAGCACTCAGCTTGATAAGTTCTTAAATTCTTAACTGAGACTTCTTCAAAGTTGATTTAGGGGACAGAATGTAGGACTAGGGACCGGAAGACATTCAGCCATTCAGTACACTGAATGACACATCACCAGTCACTTTCTCTAAGCTGGATTGTTGGGGTGCAGTGGGGGCATATATGCTGCCTTGAGCTCCTTGGAGGAAATGTGGAATAGAAAATAAATAAATAAATAAATTTATATAATTTAATTTGTATTTTCTTCTTCGTCCAAGGAAGAACAGCAATTATACCCATGCAACAGGCCTGTGAAGTTGGTTGTTCAGAGAGACTATTATATTCCAAAGGCATATAGCTGAGTTTTATAGCTGAATATGGATTTGTACCTGCATCTTCCACATCCATACCCAACACTCTAGCCAGCTACCTTTAAATATAAATACGAGCTTTAATGAGAAGTTCTGGCAAATTATATCTTTGTTCTTCGTAGCTGGGGATTGTTAACTGCTAAGCTGTCACCTAGAATAAAGTTTAAATACTTAATTTCCGAGATGTTTTGAATGCTAAAGCTGAAATAGCTTCAGGGCTAGAATGTCACTGGAAATCATTCAAGGTGCACATTGTAGTCCTCAGAATAGCAAAAGGGTTAGGAAAATGAGGAGATCTTAAAAGACAATTCAGCACCTCCTTCTGCATAAAAATAACAGCAACCAGAGGTCACTAATCCCCTTACTGGGTAATCAACATATTTTAAATGCCTGAATTAACAGGTGTGGAAAAAGAACTTCAACTGTGAGTGAGCAATTGTAATTTCCGCAGCAAAAAAAATTAACAAGCTGCCAAGAAATAGCCACACACCCTCCATGAAATGATTGCCTGTGTGTGAAATATGTGTGAGCATTCTACTGAGTTCTGGATCTTTTGAATCAGGACACCAGAAGGATAGCCTTCACCTGGGTTCTGTCTACCTGGACCTTCAGATCCTCTTTAGAGACCCTCCTCTATGTGCTGAGTGGAGTTTGCAACTAGAGAGAAGGATATATCTGTGGTGCCACCCCTATAGTGAGATAGTTACGCCAGAGAGGCTCACCTGATGCCATCCCTATGGTCTCCTTTTGGTGCCCAAGTGCAGACCTCTTCATTCACCCAGGCCTTTTTGAAGCAACTTGCATTTAAAGAGAGAGTGTTGTAAACCTGGTCTTCTAGTGGTTGGGTTGAGTTGTGTTCTATTTTCTACTCTGAACTGCTGGTTTGGAAGGAAAGTGTTGTGCTACTTTCTATGGTTTCCAGTATATTTTAATTAATTTTGTGTGTGTTTTGTGTGTGTGTGTGTGTTTACACCGAAGGGAAGTCATATAAATTCAGCAATAAATAAAATAAGTACAGAAGATCCCAGGAACTTTGTGGCTAGGCTTTCTGGCTATTTTGTTTGTCCTGCACACATGGAACTTGGGTTTTTTTCTTACATGTGCCTTGATATGCTGCTAATATTTGTGCATAAAAATGAGAGTTATGTGTGACCAGTTGCACCAGAATTTGGGTGGCGATGCTCATTTGAATACAGATGTAGTCTATCTGCACCAAATTACTTTAAATGGGATGCACATTCAGACGCCCATCTCCACCCACATTCTGGTGCAACTGAATCTGAAGTTGAATCTTGAAGTTGAAATGAGACCTTGAACTTTACTATTTTTGTATTGCACCATAGAATATACTTGCATTGAAAAATCCCAAGTCTTACTATATATTTATCCTTAATTTTTGCTTTAGGACAGAATGTTTGGCCAAAGATATCATGCAAGACATTGGATACAATGACATTGTAGTTCTCTGTGTACTTAAAGGTGGCTACAAATTCTGTGCTGACCTTGTGGAGCATATTAAGAACCTCAGTAGAAATTCAGAGAGGTTCATCTCCATGAAAGTTGACTTTGTCAGACTGAAAAGTTACCTGGTAAGTAATGATTTTGCTTACTTAAAGAAAAAGGAAAAAAAAACCCTAGTGAGTTGAGTGTGGTCTGATTACAGTTTGTATACATGGATTTTTATTTTTTTTAAAGGAAGGCATCAAAGTCCAACCTTCCCAGTTTTTGCTGTAGCAGGCTTCAATGAATAAACTGATGTAATGTAATGAATTAACTTTTCTCCTTTCGTGAACAGAACAGGAATTTGGGAGATGACACACTCAACTTAAGATCTGGTTGATTTTTAAAGGATCCTAAATGATTTACTCCACTACAGCTTTATTGCATCCATTATTCCTTCTCTCTCAGTGAAACTGAACCAGCCAACACAAAGTTCCATTTTTAATAATAATAATAATAATAATAATATAGTGTGTATACCCTAGCCACTCTGGGCGGCTTCCAACAAAATATTAGAATACAATAGTGCGTCAAACATTAAAAGCTTCCCTAAACAGGGCTGCCTTCAGATGTCTTCTACAAGTCTGGTAGTTGTTTTTCCCTTTGACATCTGGTGGGAAGGCATTCAACAGGGCAGGTGCCACTAGTGAGAAGGCCCTTTGCCTTGTTCTCTGTAACTTGGCTTCTCACAGTGAGGGAACCGCCAGAAGACCCTCAGCGCTGGACCTCAGTGTCTGGGCAGAACGATGGGGGTGGAGATGCTCCTTCAGGTATACTGGACCGAGGCCATTTAAGGCTTTAAAGGTCAGCACCAACACTTTGAATTGTGCTCAGAAACGTACTGGGAGCCAATGTAGGTCTTTCAAGACCGGTGTTATGTGGTCTCGGCGGCTGCTCCCAGTCAGCAATCATTCTCGATTAGTTGTAGTTTCCAGGTCACCTTCAAAGGTAGTCCCACATAGAGCACATTGAAGTAGTCTAAGTGAGAGATAACTAGAGCATGCACCACTCTGGCGAGACAGTCTGCTGGCAGATAGGCTCTCAGCCTGCATAGCAGATGGAGCTGGTAAACAGCTGCCCTGGACACAGAATTGACCTGCGGCTCCATGGACAGCTGCGAGTCCAAAATGACTCCCAGGCTGCACACCTGGGCTTTCAGGGGCACAGTTACCCCATTCAGGACCAGGGACTCACACAGGACCTTCACCACCTTCACTGGTTTTGATTTGAAAGAGACGTAGAGCTGGGTATCATCCGCATACTGATGAACACCCAACCCAAACCCCCTTATGATCTCTCCCAGCGGCTGCATGTAAATGTTAAAAAGCATGGGGGAGAGGACAGAACCCTGAGGCACCCCACAAGTGAGAGCCCAGGGGTCTGAACACTCATCCCCCCCCACCACTTTCTGAACATGGCCCAGGAGGAAGGAGCAGAACCACTGTATAACAGTGCCCCCAGCTCCCAGCCCCTCTAGACGGTGCAGAAGGATGTTATGGTCAATGGTATCAAAAGCCGCTGAGAGATCCAGCAGAACTAGGAAACAGCCTTTGTCCCTAGCCCGCCAGAGATCATTGACCAGTGTGACCAAGGCAGTTTCAGTCCCATTATGAGGCCTGAATCCCGACTGGAAGGGATCCCAAATGGTCCGCTTCTTCCAGGCGTGCCTGGAGTTGTTCAGCAACCACTCACTCAATCACCTTGCCCACGAATGGAAGATTTGAGACTGGGCGACAGTTGGCCATATTGGCCACATCTAAAGATGGTTTTTTAAGAAGCGGTTTGATAACAGCCTCTTTCAGTGGGTCTGGGAAGGCTCCCTCACAAAGAGAAGCATTCACCCCCCTGCGAAGCCCATCGCCCAGCCCTTCCCAGCTTTTATAAGCCAGGATGGGCAAGAATCAAGGAGACAGGTGGTTGGTTTCACTCGTCCAAGCAGCCTGTCCACATCCTCGGAGGTAACAGATTGGAATTGATCCCACACAACTTGACTAGACAGAACTCTAGCCCTGCTCCCACAGTGGAGTCTACCTCTTCCTGAATCTGAGCGACTGCAAAATCATTGCAGGATTTTAGTGTTGGTTTTATAGAGAGAAAAATGGGGAAAAAACTATCCCCAGAGTTCCTTGGGTCAATTAGTTCTGTTTAAGCCTATTTAAGATCACAGCATAGATATGCCTTAGGTTTGAAGCAAGACTCAAGCCAAAATCCAAAGAAAGAGTGGAACTGGATCCATGAGTGGTGGAGGGGAGACTGAGATCTGACATTTGTTTCTCTTACACAGCACCATCCACACACCCAGTAGCAAATGGCTAAGAAACAGGGAGGAGTTTCTAAAGCAGTTTGTGATATGACATGTGGTGCCACAGATGTTTGGAGAAACCATTCAAGCAATTCTACCGTGCTAGCACAAGCCCCTTGGGCAAACCAGAGCAGCACTTTTGGATCTTTGCCATTTTTTACAGTGAACTATTTGTTTTTGTCGTGAATCCTTATAATAGAAGGAACAGGAAGGTAGAAGCATCCCACCCACAGGGCTGGCCCAAGACCAAATGCAAGGAACATCCCCACCAGCCCCCTCTCTTTGTTCAGGTTTTGGGATGTCTTGTTTTTTATTGGATTCATAGTCCATTTCATGACTGTGCACAATTTGCAATCATGCAATTTCCATCCACAGTTCTTGTGGATCAGGAACTAGTTAAGTTAGCAGGGAGCAAAGAGTAGTATGGAGCTCAGAAAATCAAGTGTTTCCTCCCCCTCCTCCCAAGGATCTGTATTCATCATCATCATGATCAAACCTTTATTGGCATCACATACAAACATTCAGAATAAATAGGCCAGTGTGATCTTGTCGCCATTTCAACAGTACAGTCATACCTCTTGTTAGGTTTGCTTCAGGTTAAATCTTTTCAGGTTGCATCCCATGGCGACCCGGAAGTACCGGAAAGGGTTACTTTCGGGTTTCGCCACTTGCACATGCGCAGATGCTCAAAATGATGTCATGCGCAGAAGCAGCGAATCGCGACCCGCGCACACGCAGATGCAGGTTGTGTTCTGCTCATGTTGCGAACGGGGCTCTGGAATGGATCCCATTCGCAACCAGAGGTACCACTGTACAGTCATTTGCCAAAGGGAAGAAGAGGGGAGCAAGATCTGTATTCGGACCTGCGCTTTTTAAGCAGTGATGTGAACAAGTTTTCTGATAGTATATACTAAGTTGTTCAGGGTTGTTAAAAGAAAAGAAAAAGGACTCTGAAGAACTCGGAAAGGACCTCTCCAAAGGGTGAATGGGCTTTAAAATAGCAAACACAATTCATTGTAAACAAGTGTAAAGTGATGCATGTCAAAAAATATTAAATTCACATATACATTCATGAGGTGTTAACTGGCAGCGATGGACTAGGAGCAAGACTTTGGAGCTGTAGCAAATAGGTCAGTGGAGATGTCAGTGCACCATGCAGTAGCTGTGAAAAAAAGAGCAGATTCCATGCTGAGGGATCATATTGAAAGGAACTGAGAATAAAATTCCTGACATCATTAATGCTGTCATGGGGTGCAGCCACATTTGGAATGCTGTGTACTATTCTGGCTGCCTCACCTCATAAAAAGAGAAATGGTAAAGTTGGGAAAGGTTCAGAAGAGGGTAACCCAAATGATCATGAAGATGGAGCAAGTCCTCTAAGAGGAAAGGTTGCATCATTTGGGCCTTTTTTACTTTAGGGGAAAGGCAAATAAGGGGTGACATGATAGAAGAGCATAAAATTATGCACGATGGAGAGAAAGTGGCTGGAGAAAATTTGTTCTCTCATAACATTGGAATGTGTGGACACCCAGTGGAAGCTGAATGTCGAGAGATTAAGAACAGGCAAAAAAAAAAAAAAAGTACTTTTACTCACCCAGTGCATAGTTGAACTATGGGATTCGCTCCCACAGGGGACAGTGATGGCTACCGACATGCATGGCTTTAAAGGAGGATTAGACAAATCCGTGGTGGTAAAGACTATCAGTGGCTTCTAGCCAGGATGCTCCTAAATACCAGTTGCTGGAAACTGCAGTCGGGGAGAATGCTCTTGTGCTCAGGTCTTGGTTTCAGGCTTCCCGCAAGCATCTGGTTGGCTGCTGTGAGAACAGCATTCTGGATTAGATTGGGCATTAACCTCATCCAGCGCCTCTTCTTATGTTTATCCCTGTCATAATAAGGTTAGAAAGTTGCACATATGAATCTGATTCCAGTTGCTTACACACAGCCACATTCATTCTCCCAGTAAATTATTAATTATTATTATTATTATTATTATTATTATTACAACCCCACCCATCTGGCTGGTTTTCCCCCGCCATTCTGGGCGGCTCCCAACAGAATATTAAAAACACGATAAAACATCAAAAATTAAACGCTTCCCTAAACAGGGCTGCCTTCAGATGTCTTCTAAAAGTCAGATAGTTGTTTATTTCCTTGACATCTGATAGGAGGGCGTTCCACAGGGCGGGCGCCACTACCGAGAAGGCCCTCTGCCTGGTTCCCTGTAACCTCACTTTTCGCAGTGAGGGAACCTCCAGAAGGCCCTCGGAGCTGGACCTAAGGCTGAACGATGGGGGTGGAGACGCTCCTTCAGGTATACTGGGCCAAGGCCGTTTAGGGGTTTAAAGATCAGGACCAACACTTTGAATTGTGCTCGGAAACATACTGGGAGCCAATGTAGGTCTTTCAGTTCGCATCTAACGCCAAGCCAAACCATGGCTAAGTGCGAAGGAGGAACTTGCTGTCAAAATCATGGCCGTTCCTCCTCGGTGCTGCTGCACTGCAGAGTGCTATATCACAGTTTGGCTTAGTGTTGCATTCGAAATCCAGGCTCATGGTTTGTATGGTTAATGAGACAACTGGTTAACTAGATAGCTGGAGATAGATTCCTCCCCCTGTCTCCTCAGGGGTCACCTGGGTCACCACCTAATAAATCCAGCCCTGCACCCCAACACTGGGCAGGAGGTGAAGATAGCAATCTTACACACCCCAGGAATACATCCCATTCTGCTGCCAATCCCAGGATTGTGGAGGGCTGTGTTCAGTTTCTGCACCAATGTTTGTATGGACACATTTATATCAACCAGAACCAATGCTGGTATCAGCCTGGTTATGAATACAGTGGTACCTCGGGTTAAGTACTTAATTCGTTCCGGAGGTCCGTTCTTAACCTGAAACTGTTCTTAACCTGAAGCACCACTTTAGCTAATGGGGCCTCCTGCTGTGCCGCCGGAGCACAATTTCTGTTCTCATCCTGAAGCAAAGTTCTTAACCTGAGGTAATATTTCTGGGTTAGCAGAGTATGTAACTTGAAGCATATGTAACCTGAAGCGTATGTAACCTGAGGTACCACTGTATCCCTTTCAGTTGTTTTTCATTATTTTTCTGTGTGGGATCAAACCTTCTTGCTTTCCTTGCTCTGTTTTTCCATTGCATTTTAACATCTCAGTTTTATTTTTATCTAATTCGCTTTCTGTGGCCAGATAGTAGTTTTCCTTGAACGCATTTACTCCCCAACCCCGCCATTCTCTTCCAGCTTCCCCCTTACTAACCATTTCCTGTTTCTCTCTCTTTCTCTCTCTCTTTTCCTTAAGGGAGTCCTGCTGCTTTCTGTTCCCTTTCCATGCAGCTGTGCTCTCTTCTGTCTCCAACTGTTTGTCTCGGAGAGCCATGTCCAAGTCTTGTAAACACTGGTGGGATTCTGATGTCTTTTCTTGCTCCACGTTCAGCATTCATGGCTAACAGGTTAGTTCATCGTAGACAATGGTAAATGGAAGCGGGGTGGGGGAGATAATCTGGATTTAACCACTTAGGAAATACGCTACAAAGTTTTAGTGCAGCCCCCCCCGCCTTCTTTTTTCTTCCTGTGTGCAAGGATAGGTTTTTGGCAACTGCCAACGCTTGCTACCTTACCAACACAGCCTGACAGAAAGCCTTGGCTTCAACCCACAGCAAGCAAACACATCAGAACAACGCAACTCAGCCAGGCTTTCTCCTGCTTTCTCAATACCGGACACAAAGGCAAGCGCTGGACAGTTTCTAAAGCTGTGCAGGGGGGCAGGCAGTTTGAATATAATGTCTTTGTGCGCATGCAAATGGAGTCTTTTTGGATGGCAGGCACCACCTGAGCCAATGGAGGTTCCATCTGCCTTCACAAGTATATAAAAATTCCAGCTAGAGCCAAGACTGCTCATGGATGGTGGTGGTTTTTGCAAAGAATTTCATTTGAAAAACACCCCTCAAAAGCCCATAACCCTTGAAAAGATTTTCAGCACTCCTTTTTTTTTAGGTTCATTTGTGAAACCCTCCACTTTCTCCGCCTATTTTTTTTAATTGATTTTTGAAAATATGATCAGATGAACCATATATTCTCCTGCCTTTCTTCACCCCCACCTTTCAGTGTGGCTCACAGTGAGAAGACGAGGGAAGGGGGCGATCATTATGTGTATCTATTTGACCTAGCTCTGTATTGTGATGCTATGGCTCCGGCGCCAGGCTTGTATTGTTTTTAATCTCAAGTGCCTTCACTTGCCCTCAGTGACATCTTTATATAGCTCAATCTGATTGGTTACGTAGATTGTGACATTTTCCTCATTCACTGTGTGATCCCTGGTGGGCTAGAATCACCCGGGAAGGAGGAAGAACCACAGAATATACGATATAAAAGTTTTGAGAGAAAATGTCTACACAGCTAGTACTGCAAGGTGAAAACTCGAAATCAAAACTGGGAAATATTCGTTGCAGTTCCATCCTCAAGCATCATCGTGGATTTCTCGCTCGTTTATACTCAGGGACTCGGCCTGGAACTTGGTGAAACCAGGACTTTCTTTGCAGCTTCCAGTCAGCTGCAACTTCCTCGCAAGCTCCATTGAATTGAATGGGAGTTTGCACAAGAACTCACTACAGCTCTTGTGCAGCTCCTGTTTGGCTGCTAACCCCAATGGCTATGTTCTGCCTCAATAATAATAATAATAATAATAATAATATATTTATACATACCCTGCCCATCTGGCTGGGTTTCCCCAGCCACTCTGGGCGGCTTCCAACAAAAGATTAAAATTACATTAAAACTGTAAGGGGCACTATGGTTCTGATAGTAGTTGCTGGAAACCACAACAGGGAAAGAGTGTTGTTGCACTCAGGTCTTGTTTGCAGGCTTCTCATAGCCATCTGACTGACCACCGTAAGAACAGGCTACTGGGCTTGATCCAGTAGACACTTGCATTCTTACTTCTTGATCCAGAAGACACTTGCATTCTTACTTCTTTCAGTGGGGCTTGGGAATAATTTGCTTAATAAGCCCAATATACACGAGCCTTTTCCTGATCATGCAGCCCTCCCCACCCCACCCCTTCTTCTCACCAGCCCTGGACAAATTGCCAGAGTTTTCAGTTAACCATAGTTTTCCTGTTTGGACCAAACAGGCCACTGTGGTTTAGGCTTCAGAACGAGTCAGGATTTTAAACCATGGTTTGAAGTTAGGTGATGATCTGGGCTTGTTTCCAAAACCTGGTAACCTCTATGGTTTATTGAAGACTTCTGCATTTCATTCTGGCACACATGACTGAATGCAGCCAGTCTCTCACCAACTAAGGCAGAGATGAAGAACCTGTAGCTGCCCAAATGTTGTTGGACTGCAACTTCTATCATCCCTGACCATTTGCTATCCTGGCTGGGGCTGATGGGAGTTGGAGTTTAAGAAGATCTGGAGGGCTCCAGGTCCCTCATTGTTACAGTTTTAAAAAAATATTAGAGAGAAGCCCTCGTCTAAAAGTTGCTAAATGTGATTGGTATTTTAAATAAATTTTCACTGTATTTCTACAGAAGGGATGCAGGCAATTTGAAAAAAAAATGTTATATGGTCTCCCAGAAGAATATTTTTAGTAGTGACTGTCGAATATGTGTTTCAGCTTTGAAAATGGCATTTTAAACTTCTGTTATCAATAAAGTAACTCTTTGTTCATTCCTGTGTTTATAGGAAATCTTCAAAAGAAAGTTGTTTTGCTGATGTCTAAATCATGTGGTAGAAAGTGTAGGAGATATGTGGTTTGAGCTAGCTTGCTTAATCCTTTGAAACTCATCACAATTATTTATGGTATCCAGAACATAACTAATTTTAAAAATGTGACCTCCCTACTGAATAACAACCAAGATACATAATGGGTGCATTGATACGTGCACACAACCAAATACATTGATATTATATGTTTGGGGGTTTTTCCTACATTCCATTATTTGCAATTTATTTTACAGTTTTTCATTCTCGGCGGTATGTTGTCTCAGACAGAAGGATCCATGCCTGAAAACACTTGAGAAAAACATACAACGATACAGGCTTTGTGCTTGAACCTTTTAGGGAGTCTGATTACACTCATCTAATAGTTCAGGTTTTGGTAAACTGAGATCGGGGTAGCCAAGGTTGTGGGTTCCAGATGTGGCTGGACTGCAGCACCCTTCATCCATGACCATTGGCTGATGGGAGTTGCAGTTTGACAACATCTGGAGGGCACCATGTTGGCTTTCCATGGTGTAGACTGATAAGACACTCGGCCATTTTTAAAGTTCTAATAAATTTGTGGGCTACACTAGAACTCTGCAGATCACGTTTTCTTTTTCAAAAGTGATGAGCTCAAGTCAATATATGTAATCCTGCCCTTCCTCTGAGCTCCCTCTCTGGCTCTCTGTCACCAAACCTACAAAGGTCCTTTGTCTCCACACTTCTTGCCAATGGTACACAGTTCTCCTGTCCCTTGGTCTTGCCTGTGTTGTGTCTGCCCTCCCCCACCACCAGTCCCCATGCTCCACTTTCCCCATTTCCAACTCTTTCTTTAATACGCTTCTCTGTTCTGTTTGGAATTCCCTTTTTGTTATTCACTTCTCACCCTTCTTCCTACCCGTTGGCCCTTATTTTGACCGCTCTGGCTCTAGGATCCTTGTCCACCCAGCATCCCCACCTACTTTGGAATAAATATTTATAGGCTCAGGCTGCTGGGGTTTGTTGCTGTGCTTGGTTTTGGTTGTTGGTTATTGTTGTTTTTGTACTTTTGGCATTATGAGGAATCAGATGCTGCAGCTATGAATGAAGTAATGACTTCCTACCGGGAGACCATCCATTGTGGTTTCCTGGCACGGAAGCACAATCCAAAGGGACACTTGATTACTGCTAGATGTTCCACTGCTAATTTAGACGAGTTTCAGTGTTTCATTTATAATGGGAGTAAGTGTGTGCTCTTTTCAGGCTGAAGGACGTTTCCCAAGCGAAATAACCGCACTAAAAGCAGATCGGCAGCAAATTTTCTAAAATGCAGCTTATGGAAACTTCACTTAATTTGTGGCCAGTAGGAAAAAGAAAAACTTAAAAGGCTTGCTAACCTTTAGTGGCATTCAGTCAGTATGTTCAGTGCATTTTGCCAGTTATCTATACCTAATTGGCATGGAAAATTGAACTCATGACTCCTTGTAGGAAAACGCACACATGGGTGTGTGTTTTTCACCCTGCTCTGTGGGTTACAGGAGAATCTCCACTATTTCAGTTGGTTAAAGGCTTTCCCTTGGAAGAAGCCGAGGTCAAGCATTCTGTTCCCTGTGCTTTCATATCTGCGGTCAAAGTGGTGATTTGTATTGTCTTCATTCACAGTATGCGGTCGTGGATTAATTACATATTGGCGCCTGCCTGGTGGAGTGAATTCCCATCACCCCTGAAGCCAATGTTTGCACTAATTTAAGATGAGTTTTTTTAAATGGGTGGGAGGGCCAAGTATAAGAAGCCAGTTAGTGCAGAATTTGGCCCTGCAGTACAAGCCTTGGCAAGGGGTTCTTGGCAAGGAATCCTTCCTTTTCTCAGCTTTGGTAGGAGCTGCTTCAGCATTAGTAAGAAGAGCCAAACAAGACTATTATTATAACATATTGGGAATTTTTGAATTGGGCAAGGTTACTGTTAGTGATGGGGAAGAACTGAGGGGTGCCCTACGGTTTGAGGGAAAGGCATGGATTTGATTTTTTTTAATGGAGGGGAGGATGGGGACCGAACTGCACTTGTTATTCATGTGTGTGGTTTTTTTTCCTTTTCTTTTTAACCACTGCTTGCAACCCTGGATTGTTGGGTGTGCTTAAACCACAGTTTCCTAGTTTGGGTGCTATGGCAAACTGTGGTTTAACAAATCAGGAAGTATTCAGCAAAGTCAGATCCTTGGGATAAACACAAGCACTTGTTCATTCCTGGTCATGGCTTGTTGGGCTGGGAATGTGATGTTTAAACCAAACTATTGGCACAGGTGCTTTTGGAGGCAATCTCCCTTGGGAGGAAGAGCTCACTTAGGTCTTCAACCAGTGAATCTACATCCACATGTGGATCAGGAAGATACGCCAAGTGATTCTTGACCAAGTTGTTACTGCCATGTTGGATTTCAGCTACAGCTGGCTAGACCAAAATACGCAATGGGCATGCTTTTCTAATTAGACTCTCAGCTTATCAATTTCCACAAGTGCTGCAATATGGCAGGAGAAAAACATGAGCCATTCTAAGCCCATGATTCTGTATTTCAGGCTGTGTGTATTACGTATTGGGCAAAGAGCATTCAGCATCCTAAGATTCTTAGTTTTCCATTTAAAAACATGAAGTTGCTAAGCCTGGGGTAACCCAACATGATGCTCTTCTGAAGTTGTTGGAATACAAGTCCCATCATCCCCGACCATTGCCCGTGTTGGCTAGGGCTGATGGAAGTTGGAGTCCCAACCACATCTGGTGTGCACTAATGTTTGCTTAACCCCACACTAAGCTGTATGACTGCAAAAGTGTGCTTGAATGTTTGTGGGAGTGTTCCTACAGGTTTCATTGGAGTGAGAATTCAGTGTTCTGCATAAAGTCCCTCCCCCATCTTAGAAGAACCAGAGTAAATATGCTTAATACCTTTCAGTGTATATGTAGACCTTCATTCTAGTACCCTTTCAAATGGGGTGGTTGGCTCACAGGCCATAGGACCCCGCTTTTCTTGATAGTTCGTTCCCATGGTACAAGTTCTTTTTGCTACCCTGTGGGAGGATGAGCAGGATATACATTCCAACAATAAAGTCCCCTTGGTGTAGATGCTCTAATTTTAACACGCGTAACCCTGCCTATAGCCTATAGCTATCTCACTGAAGGAATAGCAGCAATCCCTTTGGGAATGCAAGACCCAGAGGACGTTTCAGAGGATCCCAATATGTTCATGTAGCCGTAAATATTAACTAGTGAAAGTGTTGCTTGGGGATTCTAAGAAGAAGGAGGAAAAAATCAAGGTAGTTCTGAAACCAGTCATTAAAATTACTGCAGTTTTAGAAAGTTCAAGATGCTGTCTTGATTCAAAATGGCACCCACTTGTATCCAAATATAGTCAGATACCTGCTTCTTGATCTCAGCATCCATCATGCAAATGAATCAGGACAATGGGACCATGTAGTCCAGCATTCTGCTCTTGGAGTGGCCAACCAGAGGCCTTTGGGAAACCTGCAAGCAGGACCTGAAAACAAGGGTATTCTCCCCTCCTGTCGTTTCCAGCAACTGGTATATCTTAAGGATCCAAATGCTCATAGAACAGACTAAGAAAAGAAACAGTTTTCCAAAGTATATAGTGTTTGTTTGTTTGTTTGTTTGTTTGTTTTTGTTCCTATATGAATGACAGTGCTTAGAGAGCATTTCCTTTCATTTAGCTCTGGAAAAGGAACATTGTTAATTGGAGCAAGCCCAGAAGCATTATAATTTCTCCCAAGGAATTTTATGACATCCTCTGCTGGCATCTCTCAGGCCTTGTTATTTAAAATAGATCAGATGGGGACCCCGCCTTGCAAGGCATAAGCCGGAAAGAGCCTATTCAGTCTAGTTCAAGAATGTGGCAGTAGCAAGGAGGCATATTTCAGCACGACATATTCAATTCCATGTTCTTTCATGTGCCTCATCCATAAGTGGTTCTTGTGATTAAACACTGAGCTAGTTTGAGTTGGGATAGCAGAGCCTTCAGATGTCCAGGAATGGAAAGAGACCTTGAACATTGTGGTCAGAAGGCAGAGGGCCTCATGCTTTCAGAGAACAAATGCACTTTGTAGTATTCATGTCTGCATCTGCTGACTGTCCCCATGGTTCTGGTTCCATTATTCTGGAGTTTAGGTCTCCTCTCCAGTCCATGGCCCATTCTTCACAAACCTAGATCTCAAGCATTACTTGCTCCTTGAACCCCGGCATTTGCAACTGTCCCAGGCTATGGTCTGAAGCTAAGCAGATGTGGGTCTGGCCAACACCTTGATGGGGTATCATCTGGGAACCACAGAAACACTGCTTTGGGTTGTATGACAAAAGGATGTAGGGCAGGATATACCGTATTTTTTGCTCTATAAGACTCACTTTTTCTCTCCTAAAAAGTAAGGGGAAATGTGTGTGTGTCTTATGGAGCGAATGCAGGCTGCGCAGCTATCCCAGAAGCCAGGAACAGCAAAAGGGATCGCTGCTTTCGCTGCGCAGTGATCCCTCTTGCTGTTCTGGCTTCTGGGATTCAGAATATTTTTTTTTCTTATTTTCCTTCCCCAAAAACTAGGTGCGTCTTATGGTCTGGTGCGTCTTATAGAGCGAAAAATACGGTAAATGTAAAATTGCTAACTTGCAGTATCAGCTTGTTCTTAGTACCAACATTTCTATTGAAAAGATGCAATTACATATTTATTGATTCAGTGGGTATGTGGATGATGCATGGCCTATATGATGCTGCACCTCCTCCACCTGTCCAGTTGACCTGTGGTAAACTAGACGGTCGTTCTGCTCAGGTATCTTAATTGCTGTCCACCACGATTCGTCATTCCCCTGAGACGGTTTAGGTCAGGATTAGATTCAGTACCTGACCCCACTTCAGTCCTCGAATGGTTCCAGTTCCTGAATTCCTCAAGTAGGATGTTTGTTTATTTCCAAACTCACCCAAGGCTCATTCATATCTGTATATTCATAAGTGGTGATAATTAAATGCCTTATTCAGGGGCAGCAGGCCACTGAATACCAGTTTCTGTGTTAGAAAGCTTTTGCCTGCAGGCCCTGTTTTTGTGGACTTCCCAGAGACACCTGCTTGGCTCCTGTTAGAAGCTTGATTCAACAGAGCTGTTCTTACGATTTCTAAAAGAATTGCTGTATTTATAAGGAACCTTAGAGTTAGCATTTTCAATAACAAAACAAAACAAAAAAAAATTGCCATGCATCTTATGTAACATTAGCAGTACAGTTCTCTACATTTCTCCTCAGAAGCTGCAGTCATTTACATGCTTACCTGGGATTAAGCCTCGCTGGTCTCATTGAGACTTATTTTTGAGTAAATATGCATAGAATTGCACTTTAAAATGTAGGTTTGTGTCTCTGCAAAGGGGCTTTGAGGTCAAGCTGAAAGTGGTGATACTGTTGGTGGGTGGGTGTGACAGAATATAACTGTGTGCTTACTTTGTTTTTCCACTAGCTTCCCCCCCCCCTTTTTTTTTCTTTTTTGCCTCAAGAAGTTATTTGTGGGATTAAAATAACCCCCATCTGTTGTCTGCAGTATATGAATTTCCGGAAAGGGGAAGCCATGAACTTAATGATTTTAGTCTTCCAGCAAAATAATTTCAAGTATGCAGAGTGTGAATTTTAAACAATATATATTCATTTTCATTAGTACACAATTCTCCTACTATTCTCTACAGATGCTTCTGTTCCTATGTGGGGAGGGGGGAGCACATTCACAACAGGAACTATGGTACCTTCTGCTTTCTGCTGTGACAGAAGTATTCCCTGCTCTTAAAAAAAAGTGATGCCTTGACAATCGCCCAGATTTTCATGTTTGTTAATGGATGTTTATCCTGGAGGGAAACCTGCTATCCATTTGCCCTGGGAGGCAAATGGTCTGTATCTGAATATTTGCCCTATCCTGTAGGTTGGGGGTGAGGAACTTCGGGCCCAGAGACTAAATGTGGCCCTCCAAGCCTCTCTGTACGGTCCTCAGAACTCTTCCCAGGTCATGCTCCCAAGGCCACGCCCTTCACCAGCATTGTTCTGCACCTTCTTCCAGTTGCATGGCGTGCGTCCTTGAACTGCGATCGTACCTCTTGCTTGCAAGGCCAGACAGTGACATGAGTCTGGTGACACCCCCACCTCTGCTGTGCAGCCCAAAGAAGATCACACTTGGGCTGAAGAAGTTTCTCCAACCCTGTGGCACTCCAGCTGTTGATGAGTTGCCATCGCCTCTGACCACTGGCCATGTTGGCAGGGCTGATGGGAGTCAGAGTCCAACAACTTCTGAAGGGCTGCAGGTTTCCTACTCCTGCCTTAGGCACACCTTGTGCTAAATAATAATAATAATAATAATAATACTACCTCTGGGCGGCTTCCAACAGAATATTAAAATACAACATTAAACATTAAAAGCTTCCCTAAACAGGCTGCCTTCAGATGTCTTCTACAAGTCTGGTAGTTGTTTTTCTCTTTGACATCTGGTGGGAGGGCGTTCCACAGGGCGGGTGCCACTACTGAGAAGGCCCTCTGCCTGGTTCCCTGTAACTTGGCTTCTTGCAGCGAGGGAACCGCCAGAAGGCCCTCGGCACTGGACCTCAGTGTTACTGTCCAACCTCTTATGCCGTCGTGAACATCATTTTGCACAAACCTCCCTGAGCTAACAGGAGAAAAAACAACTGATCTGGCCAACGCATAGCAATAGGAGCACATTATACTTCAAAAATAGAGCTGTCATCAAGTGGAAAGGCATGTTCAGCTGCACATTAAGAAGCGGGGGCTCTCTCTCAATCCCCCCCCCAATCGAGACAGATGTTTTTATTGGTAGACATCTGAGAAAACTGTACTTTTCAGGGAGTTCGGATTTATCAGATGTGCATGGTTCACGGCACAGGGTTACTGAGCTGCTCTATCTGGCAGATAATCCTGCTCATCCTCCTTTTCATTCATGTAATTAAATTTGGAGGTTAAATCTTCCCTGCTAGTGGTTGAACAGCATTAAAAAACTGTCTTTCTTCTGTCTCCTTCCCCACCCTGGCTGAAACTGCTCACGCAGTGACGCCATTGGGTGGAAGGTTAATCTACAGCAGAGTGGAGAAACACAATATATCACATTGTTTCTGTGCTCTGAAAGAACTCATCATTAGAAAACATCTCACTGTGTTGCAGTTGCACTGGCCCAGTCGCCTTGTGCAGCGTTATGGGCTGCCATCTGCAAGCGCCATTCAGCTGTAGTCACCCAGAATCAAGGATGGAAATAATTTCTGCTTGCGATTGAAAAGCCGCACAAGATCAGCCAGGCCTTCGTTCTGCAAATCTGCTATTAACACTCTTTCCATCTATGCATAGATGGGCAGCAAGTTGGACTGGCACTGGGATGAGCATTTTGATAAGAGTGCAATATTAGCCGATAGAGTAGATTGGCACCTGCGGTACTGCTGTTGTTGTTGTTACTACTACTGTTAGATTTAATTAATCACATTTTTTTGCTGTGACTTACACTGCAAAAATAAAAATCAGATATAAAGGACAGGAAACAAAAACAGGGTCACCCTAACCTATAATTTGGCTATTTCAAGGCTGAGCAGAACCAAGTGTGCATAGTTATTTGTGCTCTCCCTGCTCTGGGGTCCACCCCAGCCCTTATGACAGTTGTTTGTAACACTTGCCAATATAAAGGAGAAGCTTCACATCTTTAGCGGAGGGCGGTTTTACTGAAAAGAAACTTCTTGCTGTACCACAGCTTCTATTTCCCCTCCATGCATTGTTTGAGTGCATTATGCACTTTGAAACATTCATTTTAAAGACCCACGCTTGCAGTTTCTCCCCCTTAGACAATCTTCCGCGCTTAACCAGAACAATTAAAAAACTCAACTCACTTAGCTATTGATAACTTAACTTTGGAGGCTATCATGAAATCAGCAACACAAACCAAATTGAAATGCACCCTGCTGCTGCTTGATTCCTTTATTTATTTCAAGTGTTGAAGAACAGATAAGGCCATCAAATGTCACAGCTCAGACAAAACAGCTCTGGAGTTCTGTTAAAATTAGGATGCCACCAGGGCATTCTGGGAGCTGCACTTTCATTGTTGTGTTCTCAGTCGTCCAACAAAAAAATTCCAGGGGAAAAAAGGGCTGCATCCTTTACAAACACCTATTAATCATGGCACATTGTCCATTACGCCAGATCTTTTCTTGGGGTCTGGTTCAAGGGAAGGAGATTTCCTGTTACAAGCATGATGAGTATACAAATTCCATTTTCATGAAACGTTTCATCCGGAATTTGCTGCTAATGCTTCCCAACATGCTAAAAATAAAGGAAGGTGTGTACACGCTTAGGGACACTTAAGACCTTTCTGCAAGGAGCAACCATAAGTCTGGGCACATTGTTGTCATTCTTCCAGCATTGACTGGAGGCTAATATGTGAGTCACAACTAGTGGTGCTGGAGAAATTCATTTGGTCCATGCTTTTAAGCAAACTAACCTAACACGTGCTCTTCAGCAGAATACAGTCGTACCTTGGAAGTCAAACGGAATCCGTTCCGGAAGTCCGTTCAACTTCCAAAATGTTTGGAAACCAAAGCACAGCTTCTGATTGGCTGCATGAAGCTCTTGCAGCCAATCAGAAGCCGTAGAAGCACCATATGACGTTCGGGTTCCAAAGAATGTTCGCAAGCTGGAACAGTCACTTCCCAGGTTTGTGGCGTTTTGGAACCAAAACATCCGAGTACCAAGGCGCTCGGGGTCCAAGGTACAACTGTATGTGGAGCGGACACAGTTGTCCTTTGGATTGTGCAAACAAGCTTTTAATACAATCAAAAACCAAAAAACAACAACCCTAGGTTTAAAAAATATAATTAAAGACGAGCAAAATAGGATCACAACAACAGTAACTTAGCCCGAACCAATTTTTAATGGTGAAAATGTTAAAAGGCTTTCCAGCTTGCCTTTTAAAGGGAGGGGGCCAATCAAATCTCTCTAGGGAGAGAGTTTCATGACATGGGTGCAGCAGCTGAGAAGGCCCTGCCCCATGTCCCATCCAGCCACAACTCTGAAGGCAAGAAGGCAGTTCTGAATACAATGGATGGGGAAATTCACAAGGAAAGAAGGAGATGGCCTTCTTCTAATTTAGGCCTTGTCCAAGAGTGTCTCTGCCAGCTTCTGTGCTTTGGACTGATTGTGATGCAGTTAAGATGAATAAAAGCTGGTCTATAAAAATCTATATTGTTGACACATCCCAAACCTGATGTACTTTAAAAACACACACACACACACACACACACACACTTTTTTGCACTTTCTAGGAGCACCATATCAACAGGTTTCTTCTGAGGGAGGAAGGGGGTGAGTATAACAGCTCAGATGATAGGCAACTAGGGATGTAGTAAAGGGCCCGTCCATAGTTTTAACGAGGCGGAGTGCTGGAAATTTATTGCAGCCGCATTTGTGCCATTATTAAGTTAGCCTTTGTTCTGCCAGAACAGTTTTTAAAAGATTCCATTTTCTGCTCAGCTACTGCAAGCCGGCAGATGTGTGCTGCTTTGTGCAACTTTCACATCGGCAGCCCTGTTTGTGGGACTCCTCTCTTTCCTGAGACCACCCAATTCATTGCACATGTAGCTTCAGATGGATTCAAGATCCCTCTGGCCTCCAGAAAAGAAAAGGAAGACTGTAATAATAGACTAACCCACCCAGTTCAAAAGACATGATCTAATACTGGAAGAATTGGCAACCTAAAAGTCGCTGCTGTTATGGAAGCTTTGAGAAGGTGGCTCAAGAAACGTATTATGCTGGGAATTTCTCTCTACGGTACTTAAAGGAGCATATACAGAAAGCTTTAAACATTGCTTTTGGGGTTTGTTCTTCGAAATTCCATTTTTCTGGGACGTTTATAAAGTACAGGATAAGGGGATAAGGCTGCAATCCAGCTTCTGGTGATGTTTCTCATGATTGCAGCTGGAGAGGCAGTGCATTTATTCCTGCCACAGGTCTCTGCCATGGATGCATTCTTGCAGAATACAGTCGTACCTTGGAAGTCAAACGGAATCCGTTCCGGAAGTCTGTTCGACTTCCAAAACCTTTGGAAACCAACGCGCGGCTTCTGATTGGCTATAGGAAGCTTCTGCAACCAATCAGAAGCCATGGAATCCCCATCGGACGTTCGGGTTCCAAAAATAATTCACAAACCGGAACAGTCACTTCTGGGTTTGTGATGTTTGGGAGCCAAAACATTCTACTAGCAAGTGTTTGACTTCCAAAGTACGACTGTATCTGTGAGGCCTCAGCTAAGTTCACAGACAGGCTGCAGTTGGGGATCCCAGGCAGGCCGGCTTAAGATTCAAAGGCAGAGGGTGTGGTCTATGATGGATCAGGCTGTAGAGCACAAAGGCATGGAAAATGAGAGGGATGGAGCAAGTCCACTTAGCAGCATCTGCCAAGGACCAACTGAGCACATGACTTGGGATATTGCTGTTTTATTAAGTCTTGTAGGGTCTTGATTGGTTTGAAGGGTCAACGGACAATATCCATGCGGGTATTGAAATCTAGAGGATATAACTGAGCCACAGAGTTTAATTTGCTGATGAACCAGAGTGTTGATGATATAGATGATAAGGCACAGGAGACTGGCTGCTGTAAACTTGGATTGAAGCCCACTAAATATTCCTAGCCAGCTTGCTGTGGTGGCTACATTTGCATGATGAAATGTCAGTTGAGTAAGCCAAGACATGCACGAGCTTCACAGCCACTTTGTTTATGTAAGCCAGGAAGCTACAGGTAACCATAGCTTCCTTTGATGTCTGAATCAGGAAACCAAGGTTAACAGATAAAATATAGCTTCCAGATCCTGGCTTCTTTGGAAGCTATTTACCCTAGTTGCCAGTTCAGACGTAATGGGAAGCTGAAGTAGCTTAAGCTTCCTGGTTCGTATACTTGCTTGTGCAAAGGGAGCATGTAGGTTGTGCGTATCACAGTTTATAAGCCAGGATTTGATGGTGCGAATGCATCCACCATCTTCAGAGGGAAGCCTGAAGTCATCCACGGCGCCTTCAGATATTTCTGAGTTCTGGCAACGTCAGAGAGCATAGATGAAGGTTTGCTCAGATAAAGATTAAGGTGCTCTTGATGCCTTTCCCGCCTCCCCATCGCCTGGGTTCCACTCATCTTCATAGGTCAGCCATTGTTAGATGTCTGCCCTCTATAAAGTTTTCAGAACAGATTTAAAAGATGTTTCCTGATGGCAATTTCTTCAATTTGTCACGGGGAACTGTGATGAATTGTGGAGCAAAATACTGTGAAGTGGCTTGAAAGCAGTACTTAATGATTCATGGCAATATGTTCAATTTAACTGGAATACAAAATTGGTGATAAAAACTGCTTTTTTTCAATATCATCTTTAAAGCTCTGAAAAAGCATGGGAATGAACCGTCTAGCTCAGAAGGAAGCCAGCATGGTGCTCTCCCAATCAGCGTTGGACTATTGTTTATGCTGATGGGAGCTAGAGTCCAGGAACATCAGGGAGGCAGTAAATTGAATCTCCCTCGCTGATTAGAAGACAGTTGTGAGTCCAAGTTGACCTTTAAATATGATGGAATAAAATCCCAATTTTAGGTTGCTAAACTTTTTATTTATTGTATTTTTAGCCCTCCAAGGCAGTTACATAACACAATATAAAATGCATTTGAAATCACCAAACAACATCCATACAGTGCCTGGAAGATGAAAATGCGGTTCATTTAACTATCACTGATGTTAAGATGACTAACTTTATTGTATCTGTGTAATCTATCCAAGGGCTTTTTAGTTTCTACTGAGATTGTTTTATTTTTGTTTATAAATTTAATAAATTTTGTTTGTATTTGTTGCATCAGTAACAATAAAAATGGGGGAGGCTCGGCAAAAAAATATTGAAACTGAGTTAAAGCACAAGCAGAAATAGTTCAAAAACATAGCATAAGACAACTGTAAACGAAATTAGCAGTTTCAAATTTAAAACATTTAAGGAAAAACCAATTTGGAACACTTTAAGGTATGCTTAAAGCTTTGCATAGAAGAGGCGTGGCTCAGTTCACTGGGGAGGGAATTTTTTAACCAGTGGGTCACCACTGAAAAGGCCCTTCAAGAGGGGGGGAAATATTAATATAGAGAGTGGAATTCAGTGTTGCTACTTTTGATCCAGTGGAGGTGCCCACTAACATGTGAGAAAGGGAGACATTCCCCACCCACACCCCCAATTCACGCTGTAGCCCTCTCAGCTCCATGAAAATCTGCTCCAGAGGGTTGGGGGCTTCAGGGGAGAGAGGGAATTGCTGAAAATTACCTCTTTCTCTTATTCATATGCCTCCACTGGATTACAGTCATACCTTGGGTTGAATGCGCTTCAGGTTGAGTGTGTTCGAGTTGCGCTCTGTGGCAACCCGGAAGTAATGGAGCATGTTACTTCCGGGTTTCGCCGCTTGCGCAGACGCAGACGCTCAAAATGACGTCACACGCATGCGCAGAAGCAGCAAAAAGCGACGCGTGCGTGCGCAGACGTGCCGTCGCTAGTTACGTTTGCTTCTAGATGTGAATGGGGCTCCGGAACGGATCCCGTTCGTATCTAGAGGTACCACTGTATAAGACAAGCAGAACAGCAACATTGGATTTTACCCATTGAAATCACACAAGAAAAGAGTATCAAGCAGCGCTGATGGACTTAAGGATGATATGCAAGAACATATTAAAGCTACTCATATAATGTCACTTATGAAAGGCAGCTAATGCAATACATAGGCATTTGCTTTGATTTCATTTGCACATCTGTTCCTTCTATTGTGGCAAAATATTCTTCTGCTTTGGCAGGAATTGCAAATATGGTCACAAGAATTACATAGCAGTTTCCCCAGTAGCTGCCAGTTCACAGCTATACAATCCTTAACTTCTCTTATTGGATAGTATAATCCTGCGCTTTGAAAGACTCTTGGATTCACTTTTGCAGTTCTTTGCCAGCAGCAGAGTTCTTGCCGCAGCCAAGAGTGTTAAAATGCAAAGGAAGTATACTTCAAAGTCTTTAAAAGGGATTTTATCATTTTATTTTTTTAAAGTAAACAAAAGACCCTTTGCTTGTTTGTTTATTACAACTATTAATTGCTCTGTATGTCTAGAAGAGTCTTGTTCCCAAAACAGATGTCTTATTGGTGGTTTTACCTGGGGGAGGGGGACACAGACTTTTTCTAGTATGGAAACATTAGAGAAAACTCACATCTTTTTCTGCAGCAGTAAGATGTTCTGTTTTCCTCACCCTTCTTATTCATTTCAGTTATTGTCCTCTGTTCAATAAAACTTCTAGGGTGATTTACATAATACAGTAATCAATATTCCGATAGTAACTTGAAAACTACCCCCCCCCAAAAAAGTTTCCCTGAGATTAGACCATCCACTACAGTCATAGTATTTAGGTGCCTCCTTTAAAAAAAAAAAAAAAGTATTTTGCCAGGCATTTGGTGATTAATTGCACACTGCTACTGAGAGTATATTGCTGGTATGGATTTATTGTAACCTTTATTTCTATTTCATGGTTTTGTATATTTATCTGGTCTTAAGGATAGTTGTTGGGACGCAGGTGGCGCTGTGGGTTAAACCACAGAGCCTAGGACTTGCCGATCAGAAGGTCAGCGGTTCGAATCCCCGCAACGGGGTGAGCTCCCGTTGCTCTGTCCCTGCTCCTGCCAACCTAGCAGTTCAAAAGCACGTCAAAGTGCAAGTAGATAAATAGGTACCACTCCAGCAGGAAGGTAAACGGCATTTCCATGCGCTGCTCTGGTTCGTCAGAAGCAGCTTAGTCATGCTGGCCACATGACTCAGAAGCTGTACGCCGGCTCCCTTGGCCAATAAAGCGAGATGAGTGCCGCAACCCCAGAGTCGGCCGCGACTGGACCTAATGGTCAGGGGTCCCTTTACCTTTAAGGATAGTTGTTAGTTGCCCTGAGTGAGGTATAGTAACAGACAATAAATGAATCAGTTCTATAGAGATAGGTTTCACTGAGATTGGTCTGTGGGCCCTTTTTGGGTACTAGCTCACAGTCAACTCATTAGGGATGAAGATATTTGTCAAAATTAGAGTGCAAGTAAAATGTGATCTACTTTTATTTTTCAGAATGACCAGTCTATGCAAGATACACAGATCATAGGGGGAGATGACTTCTCAAAGCTGGCTGGAAAGGTTTGTAAGATTTTTAAATAAAACGAGGCCGTTATGACACCAGGATCGGACTAACACCGAGATTCAAAGATAGTATGATTAGGGCAATAACAAAACCTAGAGAGAAGCAAGAGGAGCAAGATGCTAATAATTACTTGCTCCAAGAAAGGCAGGGCAAAGAGAAACAGTCACCTTGGTTTCAGCATGACCAAGGGTGCAGAATCACAGCTGGGTCCACAACTACTATCAGAGCTAAATACATACTCTTTAGTAACTGGATATTATTGACAGTGTACATGTGAGCTACTGATAAATATCCCCAAAAGGATTCTAGCCCCGCATCCTGGAGGAAAATATTGTTTTGCCTAGATATAATCCTGTGTTTCAGAGGGCCAAAAAAAGACAATATGTGGAATGCGTGATTGCATTTAATATGCCTGGAGGCGCCCCTCGCCTTCTATTAACTATAATAGGTTAACCCTTTCCAACCATCCTGCAGTCATGCTATTCTCCCCATGAGTAAATCTACCATCAATTACAGCTTTTCACCCAGCACAAATGGCAACATGGGATGGGTCACTTTAGAGGAGACTACAGCATAGGAGGGAAGGGTTAAACACCCCCCCCCAAAAAAAATACACCATTGTCCATATCCTGCTCTCCCACAGCTTCTGTTTTCAAAGTTGAAGGCAAATTAAATGCAATTGTCTTGTTTTGGCCCTGAACCTTTTAATAGCACCTTGGTTTGACAATGGTAAATCATGGGAATTGTCAATGATTTGAATCTTTTTATGTGCTGGAAGGCTGATAAGCAATTTATTTTCATTTCCCCCCATTCTGCATGCACATACTGATGTTTAAAAAAAGGGAAAATAAAATATTTTTGTTCAAGGACAAGACTCTTTTAATCCAGGCCTAGTTATACGCTGAATCACTTGAGGAGGAAGGATGACTTTATTTCATTAGGCAGATGGTCTGTGTGGGAAAGTGATCAAAACAGCAAGCCTCGGGATGAATTTGGGCAGGAAACCACTAAAATTAATTTACACTGCAAGTGAAATTACTCTTGTGTTAATAGTAGGACTGGTAACTGATTAAAGACTTTTAGTTAATTAATCATCTGGCTTTTAACAGATTAATCAATTACATTTTAATAAACTGTCCTATTACCAAAATCTCAGTGTCTTTTTCTCTTATTGAAGGAACTGCATGATAACTTCATGATTTATTTAACAAAAGCTATCTACCATCCATTGTCGCCAGTACTGTCTAAAATAGCAACTCAAACTGATTTTCTTTTATATGTTGCCGGGTGGTATAAGAAATGGTTTCTGAGAATTATTGCGCATTAGTATTATGTCAGTTGTTACATGATTAGTATGTTAGTACCAGAACCAGTGTTTAGATTTGCAGTGTTGAGTGTTAAAAGAGGCAAGGCTTCCGGGATCTAAAAGAGAGAATTTCAGCAGCTGTAGCTTGTTATGCAATCTACACCCACAGCAATTCTCTCCATTTGGCCCGGGGTGGCTAACCTGTGGTCTCCAGATGTTGATGAATTCCCATCATCCTCAGCCAGTGTAGCCAGTAGTCTAGGATTGACATTTGGAGGGCCACAGGTGAACCACCCCCCATTTTATAAACCTGCTTCATATTTTCATTAGCTGTGCTGGCAAACAGAGCATAGGTTGCAATTTCTTGCAAGGCTGAATTAGCAGGTTCTCACCAGTCCCCCATCACATCTGCCTACCAGTCTTACTAAGGACATTACGTGTGTTCCTTACAAAGATTATGTAAATGTACCAGGTTTATTATAAATATCCTCGTTGTTCAACATTGAGCAACCTTTGAAAATCTGCCACAAACAGAACGCAGTTCATAAACTCGACGTGTTTATTTTCATCCTTGCTTACAGATGACTTGAATAATGCCAGCTGACAGGATTAGATAAAGCTTAATATCCTTTTTTCAGAAAACCTTTCCCTTTTCCCCCATTTTCTAAAAAGAGGCTTTAAGCCAACTTCTGAGATATATTAAGGAATCAAAAGCTGCACGGAGCTAAATATTAACTACCTGTATGGTGTTTTGTGACTGAAAGGTTAATTTTGAAGATCTACTTGCTACAAAGAAAAGAACCCTGCTGGGTTTTGTTGTCAGCAGTTAGCAAGAAAGCTTCGGTGTCAACAAGACTTCAAAAGTATACTGCCAGAGTGTGGAGAAAGAGACTCCCTGGGGCATTCCTAGTGTGCCAGTCAAATGCCCTCAAAAAACAGTGGATATACAAATCTGAAAGATAGGGATGGACTGCAGTTCCCATGGTCCCTGACCACTGACCATGCTGGGTGGCATTGGTTGAAGTTGGAGTCCAACAACATCCAAAAGGCCACAGGTTCCCCTCACCTGTAACTACCTGCCCAAGCTGAGGGTCAAACTACAGTTAGGTTAGTAGTATGTTTCAGCTACCACACTTAGGAGATAGCACATTTTTTAACAAAAGCATCCCCTGGGATCTGCTTTAGTTCTTTCCTCCCATGCCATGTACTTGCATTAAATTGTCTCCCCAATCCTGTTATTTGTCCCTGAAGGTGTTATTTGCTGAGTCAGCCTCCCAGCCCCTTTGTGGCTATATTTGATGAAGGAAAAACATGTCCTGTGTAGTGCACAGTCATAGAAAACACACTTTTTATGTGCGTAAAACTACTTGACATGTAGATTTAGCATTACTAAAGTCTCAGCAAGAAACAGTCTCGGCAAGAGGATTCCTCAGAGTGGCGGTGGGAAAGCTGTGGCCTTCCAGATGTTGCTAGACTACAACTCCCATCATCCATGACTGCTGGCCATGCTGGCTGGGACTGATGGGAATTGGGAGTCCAACACCCTGTGAACCTTAGGGCAGCCACAGGGAATTTATAGCCCTCCAGAAATAGTTGGACTCTTAATTCACAACCCTAGCCAGGAATGGGTTAGGGATCAGATTTGTATCCCAACAACATCTGGAGGGCTACAGGTTCCCCACCCCTGCCTTAGAACTCCAACTTGCAAAGCTTTTAGCTTGAGCTCCTGACCTCCTGTGCCAGATCTGCAGCCATCATTTATATACAATACCCCCTCCAAAGCTTAGTCAGTGACTCAAGCTATCCTGGATCCTAGTTCATCCCAGCCAGTTCCTGGCCAGATAGCCAGTTGTCTGCTTTCCCAATATTTGATATGAACCCAGGGATTCAGACTCCTTTTGAGAATGCAACTTAGGGAGTGTGAACCTTTAAACTATGAAAACCACCTATACAGTTTAGTTGTCTAGAGTGAGCCAGCAGTAAAGCTGGAGTTAACTCTTCATTAGCAGAAACAGGAGTGTCAGGCCTAATGAGCCCAGCAACTCATCTCTGGTAGGTCTTGCTCGCATGAAGCAGTTGCTGAGACTGAAGGTCTTTACATCCCTGCAGCTGCCTAAGTGCAGCTCCTCTCCAGCAATCTATTGCTTTTTTCCAAGCAACCAGAGAGTGTGTCTGCATGTCACCAACCTCACCTCTGCCCTTTTCATGCCTCTTCTGATTCTGGGAGACAAGCAGGGAGGGGAGCTTGTTGCAGTAGGAGAGGGAGACACCCGTGACTCTTCACCAACCTGACTCATCTCTGCCTCTTGGCCTCTCTCCTCCCACCCTCCTGCTTCAGCTTCTGCCGCTGATTCTGGACTGCTCTCTGCCACAGACTCTCCCAGCTCACTGAGCCCTGTTCCCTCCTCAGCTTCTGACACCTCCTCTTCCAAGTCTTCTCCCTCTGACCACTCATTGTTCTCCCACCACTCCTCCCCGGGATCTGAGCTTTCTTCCCTTGGTGGTTCTCCAGCTGGTTCCTCCTTCCATTCCTCTATGTCCAACCAGTCCATGACAGTAGTGCCTGCAAACATGGTTCTTATTTGGGGAGAAAAGAGCCCAGTCTGTGCCCAAACAAAGAGCACGAGAAGGACACCATTAGGCATGTCAGATTTTAGGAAGGGTCTGTAAAAAAATAAATAAACCTTGCTTCCCTGTGCAATTGCCCAGGAGAGAGAAAGTTGGCAGCTTCATCTGGCTGTTCTGATTGCAGGGAATCTGTTTCCTGACGGAATTCTTTCCACGTCTTGAAAGCCCGCCTTGCCTCGCTCTGTTATTGCCATGCAGCTGACAACTACCTGCCTACCCTCAGCAGATATAATTAGCATTGTTACATTTTCTGCAGCAGATGAGATGACTCAACACCTTCTGAAGCAGAACCAAAAAAAGAAAAAGGAAAAAAAAGGGATGCTACTGGGAAAAGGGAGAATCAATTTGAGGTATAGCCAGCAGGACCCACATGTATCATCTTTCATCATGGAGCATCTGCCTTCTGTTCATCATTAGCAGCATGAAGGTTACTGATCTTATTGGAGCTGTCACAATGGAGCTGGATGTTCTGATTCAGATTTCTTTCTCTATCTCTTTTTTAATCCTTCTTACCAATCTAGGCTGCATAGACATATGTTCTTGAATTAGGAGATAAATATAGGGATGGTGTGGGGGAGGGGGTTTCTTGCAAATTGAACTCTGCCATACCTAAGAGAGTGGCATGAGGGGGGGAAAACCCTTAACCAGATATTTACTACACACCATTAAAGCAGCGCTAGCAGGACCCTTTGCTCACAGTTGTAGAACATACTTTAACCATGTCTACTCTGAAGTAACTGCCATAGAGTCCTATAGGGCTTGCCCCAGGCAAATGGGTGTATAGTACTGTGCAGCAAATCTCCTGTTCTTTTATATTTATTTGAAACTGTTATCTCCCATCTGTGCTCGCTCAAGGCAGCTCAAAGCTCACACCATAAATTAGCAAGCTGAAAACATCAAAACGCTAAGACAACAGTAAAAAAAAAAAAACACTAGCAGCAGCAAAGATTGTTTAAAAAGAAAAAAAAAGCAGATGCACATAAAAACTAATATACCGTATTTTTCGCCCTATAGGACGCACTTTTTCCCCTCCAAAAATGAAGGGGAAATGTGTGTGCGTCCTATGGGGCGAATGCAGGCTTTCGCTGAAGCCTGGAGAGCGAGAGGGTCGGTGCGCACCGACCCTCTCGCTCTCCAGGCTTCAGGAACCTATCTGCAAGCCTTGCAAGCCCGGCGGGAGTTCCCGCGGGCTCGCAAGGCTTGCGGGCAGCAGCCTGCAGCCCGAAGCATGGGGCGCACTCCGGAGGGCGCCCCGTGCTTCGCGCAGGTGTCCGCAAGCCTTGCGAGCCCGGCGGGAGTTGCCGCCAGGCTCGCAAGGCTTGTGGATAGCAGCCTGTTCTGGGGGCTGGGGAGGGGGGGAATAAATTTTTTTTATTCATTTCTCCCCCAAAAAACGAGGTGCGTCCTATGGGCCGATGCGCCCTATAGGGCAAAAAATACGGTACCTTACAAACCAAAAGGAAGCTTTTACTAGCTTCTGGAAGCCATTTAAGGAGAGAGCAAAGCACACCTACTTGGGGAGAGAGGTCAGCAGCCTAGGAGCGGCCACAGAAAAGGACCTGTCACTGGTCCCGATGAAGTGTATTTCAGGGGGGTGCTGGGATACAAAAGAGGGCTTCTGAAGATGATCTCAGAAAAAGGGTAGAATTGTATGGGAGTTGAAGTCAGGCCTTCAGATATCCCGGTCCCAAAAGATATTCAGTTGCCTCTCAGGTGAAGCCCAAGACATTCTGCCACATGAGGCCAAGGGCAAGGTGACCATCCACACGTACAGGGAAGCCAAAGAAACAGGCAGCTGAATTTTACTTCAATATTGGTGACGGGACAGATCCACCACTGCACCTGCTAGCTTGCGGGGAAAGGTCAGTGCAGCTCTCGGAATCTGCCCCCTGAAGCAATTGCCCCATTCTGCCTAAGGGTAGGATGAGGTAGGGAACCCTCCAGATGTTATTGGACTGCAACTCCCAGCAGCCCAGCCAGCATGGCCAATTGTCAAGGATGGCAGGAATTGGGGTCCAGCCACTTCTGTAGGACCTGCAGGTGATGCAGAGTAGCTCTTTGTTCCAATGCTCCACCTACTATTAGGAACTCCCCACCCCACTAAAACCTTTTCAGAACAGCAATTTATGAAGATACGATCAAGTGAATTCTTCTGATTTATATAACTAGCTATATCTGATGTGAGTTTTGGTGTGTGTTTGACTGTATCATCCCACTCTGTTGATTCATCTGCTGACTCATTTTCGTTTATTAGTAGAACTGCGGTGCCAGGATGAGCTGTGAGTGAGGAGGTGGCATGGCTTGCACCTGGTGTCTTGATTCAGTGATTTAAAAAAACCAGCCACCTCCCAACACAACATGGTGCACAGATTTTTGTAAAAATGAACATGGAATTATCTGAATGGCTCTGGAATGATTAAACAAAATGCATGGCTTGAACATGAACAGCAAAAATAAAATGCAGAGGCAAGACAAGAAACAGTAAAGACACCCCACACAATTGTAAATGAAATCCATTTGGCAAAAACAATTTTGGTTTTATTCAGTAAGTTGGTTATATTGCTCATTACCAGACTCATAGTTCCAATGCTTTATTTTGAGCCTGGTTTTTGGTACACGGCTGATTACACAAAAGCTATTAAATCTCAAACGTTATCCAGCTATTCACTGCCCTTTTATCTGTGTTCCGTTTCAGACTATTTTGCTGATGTTCACTGATAAGGTGCTGCTGCATGAAACCTTATTGGTGATATGCTTTCAGTGTAATTTAAGTCAGTATAAGGAAGATTTAGGTGTATGTTGCAGCTTAAATATTATATTGATAACCTCCACAACCATTTCCCCAAAACATACTGCTGTCACATCACAGATTAATTTATGTATATAAAATTGGCTTTGAGAGCCTATGGTTGTACATGTTTACATTTGTACATGCTATGATCAATCCTGACTTAAGTTAGTCACACTTGGGTCCTACTAAAGTTTGCAGATAGATTTCATTTGGAAAAGTGCAACTAACTTCGGCTGGAGCAAAGCCAGTATATTTTCCATGGTGACACTCTTGATTACTTTGTAAACATATATATATTAATCTTATTGAAAGTATATCCTCCATTAAATGGTTATGGCTGAACTGCCTGATCTCTGGCCACAGTTTGGATGTCAGGAACTGCAACAACTCCAGTTCCATTTCCTTGATATTGTATTATGAATAAGTCAGTTCTGCTCCTTCAGTGTCCTTATAGAAAGGGAAATATTCTCATTTTGCTAGCCCCCAGCTTCAACATCACAGCCTTCTTGGATATATCTTATAGCCTCAACAACATAGCCTTCTCAGATATAGGTAGGACTACCACTTTTTGCCCACCAGCACCCTGTACATTTAACAGTTTAATGGTAGCTAAAAATTCAATGAGTGCATCTTTTCCGAGGGTAGAGATGTCACAATAGAAAAGAGATTTCTGTCTATTATGCAAATATTGAGTGCTTTCGGAGGGGGGGAAAGTTGCAATCAGTTACATTTAACAGGCACAAATCTAGCACAAGCAGATTTGCTGTTCATGAAGCAGTATTAGAGTAACACCCCTCTAGGTAAATGCAAAACCATATTTGTGAGAGTCAGATGCTGGCACAATTAATACCATATAATGATTAACACAGAGATGGTTGGTGTTCACTCTTCATGATTACAAAGCCTGGTCTCCTCAAGAGTTGGTTTGCAGCTACTAAGAAGGCCCTTTCTTGAGTTCCCACCAAACATGCGTCAGAAGTTGTTGGGACAGAGAAAAGGGCCTCTGCAGAATAATTCAAGTTGCACTGCCCTGAACTCTCTGGTGCCTCGCCCTTCTCTCTCTTCCTCCTGGTAAGCATCAGTGATCCACTTTCTGGAGAACCAGCATAACAACTGCCCACTCCCCACAAGCTGCTGCTTCTCAACATCCAAGAAGGCTTGTATGGAAGAAGGCAGTCCTTCATGTTACAAGTTGCAGCCAGAGGCTTTACCCTGCACTTCTTGTTCTTGCCGTAACAAACCATGGATTGTTGTTATGTCTGAATCAGACCATCTTCCTGTGCTCCAGCAAGGAACTGCTTGTAAGTTTGGCCAAGAGCAGGACCTTCCAGCCTCCTTCTGCAAGGTTTTCTGGCATTTGGAGCCCAAGGAGTTCCAACAAGTGGTGCCTAAGCCTGGCCTCAGGGTGGAGTTGAGAAGAAGACTTTGGATATAATTCTTTCACCAAAGTCAACAGCAGCGATCTGCTGTAAAACCTGTTAAGGCAGGCGAGTTAAGATTGTGTAACTTTACAGCGTGGATGCGCCATGTTATTAAATTTATTACAGGACTACTGAAATAGAGTTCTAGTTTATCAACATGGCAGAAGAATTATCACCAGCTGCACATGAGCCTGTCATTGGCTGCAGGTTGATTTCCTGTGGAAAGAAGCTTGAAACGAATAGAAAATATATGTCTGGCCATCTGGAAGACAGAAAACCACTTCTGAAGTATTCACTGCTATGTATTAATGCCTCTACCCTTGTGGTCCCTTCCAACTCTACAATTTTATGTTTCTCTTTAGAAATATTTCATTAGCTAATCCTCCCCCATTTGCTAATATTGCAGTATTATTATCTCATGGCTTGAGTATTTGCAGCTAATTACAGGTCACATTTCACCATGTAAGTCACATCAGTAGCATGTAAACAGGTTTGGAAGGTAATGACCTAATTCAAATGATCCTATCTCAGTTTAACGAGCCAAGATACTGAATTGAATAAAGTTGTCCGTATGATCACAGACCCTTCTGCCTTTCTGCAGTTAAACCAGGGAGTTGTTAGCCATTGTTTCCCATTTTATCCAAGACAGGATTATCAGGTTTAAAACAAGCTAGGATCTAAATAACATCAGAATGAACATCTGGTTTGTTGTGGAACTGGAAACCATATTTTCTTGCTTGAGATGAAGCTGTAGTTAATTGAAGACTTCCATATTGCATGATAGATAAGATGATGATCCACCAAAATAACCCTTGTGCTGATGGTTCCTGACTGTTAGCGATGGAAAGTTGGACTGTGCCATTCCAAGGTCACAATTTACTTTAACTGATGCCATACTCAGCAAGTGTGTGCTGGTTTCATTGGGACTGTTCATGATGTGAGGTCCTCCTTTCCAGGGATGTCTCATACTACATGGCCTTGAGAAGCTTAGGGGCTTGCACCATTTGAAAAACGCATTGACGAGCCATTCTTAAACCCCCACCAGTAATATAGAGATGGTATTGCTGGCTTACATTATAGGGCTGTTGAATTTGAGATATAGAGTGGGTCAAGCAGGGGTGGGTAACCTGCAGGCTCCAGATGTTGGGCACCAACTCCCATCAGCCAGCAGAGCCATTGGTCAGGGGCAGTTGAGGTTGTCATCCCAACATCTGGAGAGCCACAGAAGTAAAACAAGAAGGATTTAGAAAACTACAAAAATTGGGATGAAGATGGTTCACCTAAGATTTTGCAATAGCAAAGACTTAACTTCCCCCACTCATCCAAAGCAGTTCAATAAAAGTAATGCATTTAAATATTTATTCAATATTGTTTAAGTAGGATTTGGGAGATCTCAAGTCCACAGTAAGGTTCTGAAGACAAGTAACAAGACTAATACAAGCCTATTGTCAATCAGAGTACATCAGGATCTTGAGGATTTTGTATAATCTCTCTTCAGTTGCCCTGTTCTCATATCAAATAAGAAACAAAATTCTTCCCCAGCTGCTGTCAAGTAAGGAAATAGTGGTCAGACCTTCAAAAGATAGATTTTTGGGGGGTTAGCAAACAGATGTCAAGAATATTACTCTGCTCAGCAACTTATGCCTTAGCATTATCTAAATCTCGTAATGCTATTTTGAGTTGGCTTGCCTCTTGTCCATTGTAAAACACTTGCAAGATAACAGGTTCCGTTATTAATTGTTTAATGTATTGTATTTTTGCATTCCTGCTATGGCCTTTGGCAAGTACAGAAATAAAACTGAACTGTTGTAGATGAGGCATTTCCTTTAAGAGAGTTTAGGTGTGCAAAGATAGATCAGAAGTCCAGGCATACATACATTACCTAATTTTATTTGTATGCAACCTTTCCATAGTTCAAGCTTGCTTACAACATGAAAAAACGTACATCATTACAAGCATAACAAAAGTAGTAATAAGTAATAAATTAAACCTCAAAAAGTTCACAACCAAATTGAACAATTTCCACATAAATCATATTAAGATTAAAATAAAGGTATCAAAAAAATAATATCAATAACAGCACCCCCTCCCCCAATCCTCTAAACAATTCCTCAACCCAAGAGTCTGTTCAGCAGTCTCAGCTTCTGCAGCTGGAGTCAGACAGGGCCCCACCCTCCTAAGCCAGATGGGAAAAGCCTGCAAGGCCAGGAGCAGGTCTTCCAGGACTTACCGCCAAGATTGCATGAGAGAGGGGCTGAGAAGATGAAGAGGCGAATGGAGACTCAACAGAACAGAAAGTTCAGCAATACTTGTGTTCTGGCATCCTGAAAATTATGGAGAACTTTCCGAGGGAAGTGAAAGATCTCAGGTGGACCTCATTGGGAAAGGCCTGTCAGTCCAAAAATACAATGTGCAAGAACCTGGTAGCTTACATTGGAGCAGGAACGTAGACAGAGTCTAGAAGAATTTGGCGGTTCAGTGAGCAGAGCCCTGCCTAAAAGCTGTGTATCTTCCTGCTGGCAGGGATGATGGACCTGTGGCCCTCCTGATGTTGTTGAACTCCAGTTCCCATCAGCCTCGGTCAGCATGGCCCCAGGAAGGATGGGAGTTGGAGTCCAACAATACCTGGTTGGCCACAGGTTTTTCACCCCCTGCCAATCCCTGTAAATATAACACAGAGAGAGAGAGAGAGTTGCCAGGCCATCGTTCTTAGTGCTTGCCAGTTGGCAGACCTATGTATGAAACAGTTATACTGAACTGAGCTATTGGTCTACCTAGCCCTACGTGTTGGCTGCTCTTTCATGACACAGCTCTAAGGTTTCCAGCCGTGGAGTTTTCCCAGCCACGTTGTTTCTTAACTGGAGAGACCAGGGGTTGGGCCTTCAACGTCCTGCATACAGAGTGTTTGTGCTGTGCTGGTGGGAATGAAACTATTCGCGTTTTCTTCCCTCTCCCCTTCCCTGGTAGGAGACCAAGTCACCTCTCACTGCAAGAAAGAAAGAACTGGGTCAGAGCTGGGGGTATAGGGCAGAAGCAGGGAGCATCCCCTTGCTGTCTGCCAGGGACAAGGACTCTCCTTGCTCCCAATACTTGGTTGGTTGGCTTAGCTGGGGCCACCCTTGCAGCTCTCCATCATCAGATCTCCCTTTTCCTCCTCATCCTGGAGAAGACCCAGAGAACATGGACTCCCGTTCTGCTAGTGGTTTGCTGTCGATTCACTTTGTTCTCCTGCCTAACCAAATTTCTTTCTCTTCTCCTTGTTTGTTTGTGTTTCAGAATGTATTGATTGTGGAGGTAAGTTCATCTATTTGGATTGGCTAAAATGGGTGGTGGTCCTTTTGGGTACAGTACGTCTTGTACCACTTAATGTATAGGTGCGGATATACAAAGAATCCCGTGAAGTCAGCAAAAACCTTGCTAGTGCTTTTCGAAAGCCGTTTAGCTAAAGGCTGTGACACCTTTTTTGGGGGGACTATGAAAAAGACCCAAAAGAGGCTACCGTATTTTTCGCCCCATAGGATGCACCGCCCCATAGGACGCACCTAGGTTTTTTTTGGGGGGGGGAATAAAGAAAAAAAATTATTTCCCCCCCCCCAAGCACGGGGCTGGCGCGGGGGAAGCCCGAGCTTCCCCCGACCCCAGCCCCCAGAACAGCCTGCTATCCGCAAGCCTAGGGAGCCGTGCCGGTCTCCCCAGGCTTGCGGAGAGCTGCGCAAAGCCCAGGCGCGCTCTTCAGCGTGGCCCAGGCTTCGGAATGCAGGCAGCTCTGCGCAACCTTTGGGAGCCTGGCGCGACTTTGCGCCGGGCTCCCGAGGGTTGCGCAGAGCTTCCTGAAGCCTGGAGAGTGAGGGGTCAGTGCGCACCGACCCCTCTCACTCTCCAAGCTTCAGCGAAAGCCTGTATTCGCCCCATAGGATGCACACACATTTCCCCTTCATTTTTGGAGGGGAAAAAGTGTGTCCTATAGGGCGAAAAATACGGTAATTCCTCCCCTCCTCCCCCCAGAAATTAAAATAATAAAATGGTGTTGATGTTGCAGAACTTTTCAGCTATTGGCTAACCAGGTCAGTTTCAAGGCTCTTGTGTTAATATACGAAGCCCTGAACAACTTGGGTCCAGGATGCCTTAAGGCTCACACAAGCCCTTATATCCCAGCTTGATCGCTGAGATCATTCAGAGGAAGACTTTAAGTTGTCCCCCATCTTACAAAGGCAAAGAAAGTTTAAACTTTCTTCCTTCTTACTACACTGTCAACTTTCTGTGAAAATTATTTTGCATTGTCTTTAATGGTGTTTTATTATACTTGCACATATTGTTGTGTACCACCTTGATATTTTATATGAGTGGACAGCATATAAATAATTTTATAAATAAATAAATGCCCTAACTACACACACACACACACCGGCCTCCTTTTACCTTTTGTGTTCCTGTGATGCAATGGGTCTGTGCGTCTGGCTGTTAACCAGAAGGATGGTGGTTGGAGCCCACTCAGGGGCTGTGGGCAGGATTCCTTCATTTGCAGGGGGTTAGACTAGATGACTCTCGGGGGTCCCTTCCAACTCTACAGCTCTATGCTTCTATGCTTTCCAAAGGATATCATTGGAACCGGAAGAACAATGAGAGCTCTCCTCAGCAAAATTGAAAAATGCAAACCCAAGATGGTCAAGGTGGCAAGGTAAGTGTAGTATTTGGGAGGGACCACATCTCAATGGGTGGAGCAGCCTTTGATAGTGTGATGCCCTCCAGATGTTTTGGACTACTAGTCCCATCAGCCACAGCCAGCACAGCCAATGGTCGGGAATGATGGGAATGGTAGTCCAACAACATGTAGAGGCTACTGTGCAGGCCACTGCTCAGAAGCTTGTCTCTTTCTCTGTGGGAGGATGGCAGAGGCAGCTGACTCAGCTGCTAAGGGAAAGAGAAAGGAAATCCTTTTGGGTTTGCCCTTGATGAGTCTTCAGACATCTCCGATGGAGGGGAAGTGCACTCATTTACTCTTCTGCTGAAATTGGGGTGAGGTGGGGAGTTTGCCAAGCTAAACAGACCTCACCAGCCATGCATAGTTACCCATCAGAGGCTCAATGTATCTTTTGTTTTTGCTACCTGTCTTTGGAGTGTCAAAACAGGGAATGGGGTTGGTTCTCGAGCAAGGACCATAATCAAAATAGTGGATAATATTGAGCTTGATGGACAATTATCTGACCTGGGAGGCCATAATATATGGCTGTTGGGCTGTGGTTCAGCTTAATGTTAGGACATGGTGCCCTCCAGATGTTGTTAGACTACAACTCCCATCATCCATTGGCCAAGGCTGACTAAGGCTGTTGGGAGTTGGTGTCCAACAACATTTAGAGGGGCACCAGGCTTAGCGGGTTGCAAGTTGTACAGGCTTTAAGGAAATGAGAGACGGGGACAGAAGAATACATCTAACCAAGCCAAAATGTTCAGGAGTTATGTGAACAAACCCAGCTTTTTAAAATGTTTACAATAAAAAAAACACATTTTTGTTATTTATTTAATGATAGTTTGCTGGTGAAAAGAACATCTCAGCCTAATGGATACAGACCGGACTGTAAGTGCTCTCCTGTGGATTTTCTTTGCTTCCTGATTGTGAAGTAGCTAAAATGTTCCATTGTCCTGTTTTCATTAAATAGGCAAGACGTAACACACCCAGTCCTTGGGGTGTTGTTCAAAAGTGATGCTAGGAATAGCGTCTAAACAATGGAAGTGCCACCTTGATCAGAACTATCATTTGGGGGGGGGGGCAGCTTCCCCTCCACTGTCCCTATTTCATTATAGACATGTATGAGAGACGGCGTGGGAAATGACCACCTTTTAAAACCGATTTCAGAGTTGTGCCACTATCAAGAATCATAAGCTTGACCTTGCAACTCTGCTGAGAAAGAAACCTTCACAACGCTTCTGTTTCCAAGAGTGTTTGGGGTTAAATTGTGGCACTTTAACACCAGTTTCAGATAAGTTTAAAAGTTGCCCAGCAGGTGTTCCTTGCAACACCCTGCATTTTATTCTGAGATCTGAGATCTTATAATGAAGGGCAGTATATAAATCAAATTTTTTAAAAATGCCCTTAGCATGTCTGTTGGCCAAGATACAACACACTGTGGCTTCAAAGTCCTACGTTGTCCAGCTGTATCCCAGCTGCAGACAAGTGCAGATTGTTCCTTGGAGGCTGTCATAAAAATCATTTGGGAGTTAACTTCCCTGGGGACACATCTCTGTTTGGGTAAGAGCTGTAGTTAGCAAGCTCTATATTTCTTTTCCCTCTCAATATTAGCTAACAGGATTCCTTTTAGACAGAATTGTGGTCCTTTATATAGCCTAATTGGGTACATCTAGACAGCTCCGCTTCAGCTTCAGTAAAGTGTTCCCATCTCAGAGCCCCAGACTCACAGTCACTGAGATTTGGCTCTTGTATACAATTTCCAGGTCAGTGAACTATTACATAAAGGAAGTGTCAGGGTTTGTATTTTTAACAATACAGACATTTTGCCCTTTTTTTCCTCTCTCTCTTCCAGATTATGGATTTGAAATTCCAAATTTATTTGTGGTGGGCTATGCTTTAGACTACAATGAGTACTTCAGAGATCTAAATGTAAGTGTCTCCCACTCTTTGCCTCCTGAAAAAAAACAACACTTTTATAAACTATGACTTTCGAACCCAGCCAATCTAGAACTGGGTTTCCTCTTCTGTGGCTAACAGTAAAAATTTGTACCCTACTTCTGCAGTGCATGGTGCTTTTTAATCCTTATCCTGCCTGCCTTCATGTACAATAGTTTGCTTCACGAATAACGCTAAACCATAGTTTAGCTGCGGGAAGCCTTGGGCTCATGCTCTGCTCTCCACGCAGCTCTGAGGAGAATGGAAATATCCATTACGTAAGATAAACACCTTTTCCAGCACTCATACTTGCAGCGTTATTTCTGTCAGTGGGAGAATGTGATTTATTTCTGTCACTCGACACAGCACACTGGAGCGATCAGAGTGCAGAATGTGGCTCCTCCATAAACGCTGTTGGTTGACTTTGTGGGTTGTGATGTTAAAACTTTTCGTTTCAGCACATATGTGTTATCAATAACCATGGCAAAGCCAAATACAGAGTCTAAGGAATAACCGGCTGGCCTGAACTGGAAAACTGACAGTCCCCTTGAAGCATCTCCTGAAGAACAATTGAACTGACATCCGTCCCATTCAGCCTGGACTAAAAAGTGGCCCCTTCTTTCTAAGGGGGGAAAAGAGACTTTGCTGCAGTCAGCCACCCTCATCTCCTTTGTAGCAGAACTTGGACAAGGCAAAGACCGAGAAGTCATGATCTTTTTATATATACATATAATTTAGTGTTATAAGCTAGCAAATAATTAGTTAATTCATTATAATTAGTTATGACTATAATTAGTTACTATGAGATAGTAAGTGAGACGGCATTTACCGTATTTTTCGCTCTATAAGACGCACCAGACCACAAGACGCACCTAGTTTTTGGAGGAGGAAAACAAGAAAATAAATATTCTGAATCTCAGAAGCCAGAACAGCAAGAGGGATCACTGCGCAGTGAAAGCAGCAATCCCTCTTGCTGTTCTGGCTTCTGTGATAGCTCCGCAGCCTGCATTCGCTCCATAAGACGTACACACATTTCCCCTTACTTTTTAGGAGGGAAAAAGTGAGTCTTATAGAGCAAAAAATATGGTATTTGTTGGCTTGCTTATCCCTTACCTTGCTCCAATCTTCTTTGTGAACATAGTGAGGGCAGCTGCACTAGTCACAAAGCCATCCTGTGCCTCCCAGTGGTGCATCTTGTTGCTTCCAGTTCTCTCCAGTAACCTATCTGTGCCTTCTTCTGAGCCCTTCTTTTAAAGTTTTCTTGAAGAAGCTCAGTGTACATCAGAGGTGGGGAACTGCAGGCCCTGGGACCAGATGTAGCCCCAGACACCTTTGTTGGCTCCTTGTGACTTTCTGCAAGCCACACTCTCTTTCCGCAGTTCACCCCCCCTCACTAGCTCTTAGAATCATAGAATTATAGACTTGGAAGGTACCCTGAGGGTCATCTAGTCCAACCCCATGCGACACAGGAATCTCAACACGCCGTCTCCCATCCAGTTTGGAGCCATGCCTGACCCTGCTTAGCTTTGCAAATGTGCTTTTGCACCCAAGTGTTTTCGCCTGCCTGGAATGTGCCCTTGAACTGTGATAATGCTTCATGTTTGCCTGGATGGAAAATAAGGGGGGAGTGTGAGTATGCATAAAGAACTAGTCTGTTCTACAGAAGTAAAATGCACATTTGTTGCTCCGTTCAGTTTGGCTTCTGGCTCCACCCATCACAAGGATGTGGCCCTTGGAAGGTTCCCCAAAAAGGGAATAAGGCCCCTAGTAGGCTGGAAAATGTTCCCCATTATCCTCACAAGAACCTTGTGAAGTAGCTTAGGCTGAGGGAGAATGTACTGGCCTCAGACTCACCCAATGAACTTAGAGGCTGAGTGGGGATTTGAACCTTGATCTCCTAGGTCCTAGGAAAACACTCTAACCACTATGCCACACTGGCTTTCAGGAGGCTTACAGTGGAACGCAAAAGTGCAGACTATATACCGGTAATAACTGTGCTCTAAATTAATCCGTCTGTTCATCATGGCCACACGCAGTTGCCCTGGGCAAACCTATAAAAGGTAGCTTGGCTCATTTCCTGTATCTTGAGTTTTGTCGTCAATAAGGTTCTGTTTTGCGGGATAACATGCTGTGAGAATCACATTCAAGAAACATCAAATATACATTATGTTAACGGTGTGATAGATTCCTGATCAGTTGACATCCCCAAAGCTGGTGCTGCCCGTGGAGTAGGAACTAGTGTAAATGGTTTTCCTCTACTCCCATTAATCCTCACAGTGACCTGTGAGGTAGACTAGGCTGAACAATATAGACTGCCCCTAAGTCACCCAGTGACTAGAGCTAGGGTGATATTTGGTTTTCAACATCATGATATATCGCCAGCGAAACATCGCAATATACCGATATGTCACAACATCTGAAATGAGGATTGAGTTGTGTAGAGTCACTCATATGTGATTCATTGTTTTAGGGCTACAATCCTAAGCACAACTTGCTAGGGAGTAAATTTCATTGCGCATGGAAGGACTTATTTTTTTGAGTAAGCATGCTTTAAGCCATTTGTATTTCCTAGGAATATGTTTCCTAGGAAGGTAACTGGTTTTAATTCATATCTAGTCCCACACTGCAGAGTCACCAAGGTATGTGAATCTATAAAGTCCCCAGTGGGTCGGTTTCAGTAAATGTATTTTTGGGTGTGTTTCTGATGAGCCTTTGTTACCCATTCGTCCAAAATCATATGGAGCTCCAGTATAATAACATTGAATGTTAATGAATCTTTGCGAGACACTTTTGATTTGACCTTTCAAGGGGAGATGATGGTGTGTCATGAATGCATGGATGTACTCAACTGTGTTTAATACACTGAATTTTAATTGGAACCAAACAATAGCAGCCAAGCTTGGGTTCCCAAACGGCATCCTTTGTGTACAACATAGGAAAGTCATAGATTAGACAAAAAAAACAAGACCCCAAGACCCTCTATGAGTGCACATTTCCATAACCGAAACTAATCATGTACAAAGGGTTGCTTAGATGGCATATATTCTTTTTCAAATGTTTTTTCCCCTCTTAATGATCCTGTTTTTTTCACAAGCAATTAACCTGTCTATGAATATGAATATGGGGGTGTTGATACAGGGGTGGGGAAACAGTCTTTTCTGAAGATAGGAAACATTTCATGTCGCAAAACTCAAATCCATATTAAAAGCATCTTCAGCTTTCCGGGCTTTTGAGGTTTCCCGTTTCCTTTGCCATCATCTGCAAAATATATTTTTCTCATTTACCTGTTGCACTCATTGGAAGAAGGCCATTATGTGCTATATACAAACTGCTCTCAATAACTTCCTAAAGGAAGCCAGTGCAAAAATATAAAAATCGAATGCAAGCAGCTTTGTTCAGAACAGCATGGGGCCTATTGTTGTTAGACTGCAGTTTCCTTTACACTAATAAACAGTAAGGGCGCTTTGCTACATTAGAGATTGCTTTCGACTTCCCATCGCCTCTTCTTCAGCACAGATTTGCACACCTCACAGAAGCCTTTACAATGTACACAAGTGCTTTGGGGGAAACCAATGTAAACATTTCCTGTGTACCTCTGCTGTGGCCTGTACATTTTTCCTAGCTGAATAAAATGAACTGAAGTAACTATGGGATTTCCACCATTGTGTAATTAATTGCTTTCATTGCCCCATGTTTATGCATATACAGATGGGTGGGAGGAGGTTGAGGATAGATTTTTCTGCAAGTTTCCTTTGTGAGAGAAAACAATTTCCACTCAGCTATCTGTCTAAAACAGACATCCCCAAACTCGGCCCGCCAGCTGTTTCGGGACTACAACTCCCATCATCCCTAGCTAACAGGACCAGTGGTCAGGGATGATGGGAATTGTAGTCCCAAAACAACTGGAGGGCCGAGTTTGGGGATGCCTGGCCTAAGAGAGCAATCCTAAACTCCCTGGAAGGGTGGCATTGGGTTCATTGAATCCTACAGATCTCCCTCACATAGGAGGAGCATGCAAGTTCAGGCCAATGGTCCGGCGAGTCCCGTTTCCTGTTCTCACAGATACCCAGATGCCTATGGGAAACCTGCAAGCAGGACATAAACACAAGAGCCCTCTCCCCTCTTGGGCTTCCTGCAACTGGTATTCAAGAAGCATTCCTGCCTCCAACTGTGGAGGCAGAGGATAACCATCATAGCTAGTAAGCATGGATAGCCACCTCCTCCATGAATGAGCAGAGGGAGATCTCTGTGCGAAGGAGGAATGTCAGGTATGCCCTGGTGTGGTGGCAGCAAGCTCCACTGCTGTTCTGCAGGTAGAAACACGGCCCATGATGGAACCTGAAATGGTGTGTTCCAAGGGCACGTTGGGGAAGGCGATGACTCACAGAAATCCACGCATTGTTTCCCTGACCAACTGCAAGAGCTACACCATCCCTGGAGCTGGCATAGCTAATTTCCCCCCCTGTTGCAGTTAATGGGAGGGACATACTTTTGAAAACCTGACTGCAGCAGGAAAAAGAAGAAATGCTACTCGCCTCACAGGGTGGCAGTTTCTCCACCATTCAGAAACTCTCAGGCTTTAAAAATAATTCAAATTTATTTTAACACACACACACACACAAAAACACATTTGCATTATTGGTTCTTAAAAGCCTGAGAAAAGTAATGTTTCTGCTTGGCAGCTAAATGATAGCAATGAGGGTATGAGGCAAACCTCCTTAGGGAGGGCATTTCAAAAGCAAGGCGCTAACGCTGAAAAGTTTCTCTTGTTATCACCCGACACCAGGCATCCTGAGAAAGACCACAGGGTGGTGATCTCAGTGGACTAGCCAAATTGATGCAGGAGAAGGTGACCTAAGAGGTATTTCAGGTCCTAAACCATGTGGGGTTTTAGGGGTGATGACCCAGCTCTGACACAGACTCTGGGCCAAGCAACTGGATGAATGGTACAGATAATACTGATTCAGGAATCTATCTTTGCTTTGTATATACCGTATATTTTTTATTTTCATCTTGCATTTTAGTCTGATGTACTGCATACAATTATTTTAATGGTTGTTTTAGAAAATATGGGGGGAAATAAATAAAGTGAAGTGGGGGAGATCACAACTGTTTATACATTTTATTCCTAGTCCCCGTGAAATCTTTGAGTCCCTTGTATCCGGTGACCTACCAAATGCTGTCATCATCAGAGCCAAGTGATCTTTTTCAATCATGGTCGCATCTCTTGACTCATGAACTAGTCGGAGGGTGTTTATTCTTCCAATCAATTTAACAACATCTGGCAGATTATATAAGGCGAGAGGATGTTCTTTATAAACCGTCATGGACAACATGTTTCTCTGTTTTTTGCAGCCATCCAGTTTTCTCTGATTTCCCTCTCTTGCTCTCTAATAGCTGACATCCTTCCACACCCTGCCCCCAAAGATAAAAGCAGGATTGTTGCATCTGTGAAAGTGACATCAGCATTTTGGAGTGCTCCCTTTCGACAATTAATTCAACTCATTCATCCTTCAGTTGGCTGGATCCCAAAGCTATTTGGGAGAAAATGACTGATGGTGACAAAACAAACACTATCCAAAACAGCTATATCTATAACCAGTTTAAGGGCTATATTTTTAATGGGAAGCTTCAATCTACAAAGCAGTCCAGATCTATTGTTGTATGTTGTGTCCCAAGTACCCTTTCCCCATGATTCTGCCCTGCAATTCTGATAAAAAAACTACTTCTTTGGTGTCTTTCATAAACGATGATAACATGCTCCTCAACATATAGGGCTTGCATGCAAATCATGCACATGATGGAATCTTCTGGGGTGAAGGGTGCTCTAAAAAGAGAAATAGTCAATAAATAAATAACTGCAAGCACAATATGATACATGCAGCTTTCGCAGTAAGAACATATAGGCACCGCAAATCTTGCATAAATACACACTGGTGATTCGTGTCCGCAATGCTGAGAGATGCACAACACAGCGTGTACATGCATGTTGCCAACCCAGACAGCATGCATGATGAAAACATGCATGGCAAAAGCAATTAAGTTCTGCTCCTCTCCATCCCATCAACGCTGCCTAACATAGGCATTTGGCCAGCACAGCCTGCTGTCAGTGCCACTGTTATCACTACATTGGCACGGTGTAAAGTTTCTGTTCCTGTGCCTTTTGCCTGCATCCCCATCGCAGCCAGGAACTGTAACCCAACCATAGGATTGCTCTGCTAGTGAACCTTATTCATCGGTCTGCTGCAGCTCAGAAGGCTCAGAAGGCAGAGTAGGGAACTCCATGATGGCAGGTGCCCCACAGAAGGAAGAACATGAATGAGAAACTTGGCAAATGGAAGCACTTCCCTTTGGCTATGCTGTTTCCTTTCCTGATTCCGCCTCCTCCTCGGCTGTTGCATCCTAGTGCGGGGGTGTTTGCAGCCGAAGGAAAGTACCACCAATTGGAGTCTTGGAAGGAGCCTCCCCACCCCAACGCACAAACACTCCTGTACCAGTTCCCACAGTGCGAATAACAGGGCATAAGGGCACATACGGCATGTGTGAAGAAGATCAAACTCTGACTTCAAGCCACTGTTGTTATTAGACCATTGCAAGGTACTCTGGGGAAATTACATCATTTTTCTTTAGTGTGCAAACAGTAACATGCAATTTATTAATTATTATTATTATTACCATCGTTATTATCAACAAGAACATTAATAGCAGCAGCAGAAATTACTATAGCCAGCATTAATAATAATAGTAGCCATAATAATAATAATAATAATAATAATAATAAGGCTTTAAAATGGGGATAGACAAATCCATGGAGATGACTACCAATGGCTGCGAGTTATGGCTATATGTTGCATCCAGTGTCAGAGCAAGGATGCCTCTGAATGCCGGTTGTGGGGCTCACGAATGGGAGAGTGCTGTTGCACTCATACCATGCCTGTGAGATTCTGATAGACATCTAGTTGACATCTGTCAGAGCAGGATGCTTGATAGGCCTTTGCTCTGATTCATCGGGGCTTCCTAGGTTCTTATGTTCCCCAAAGGGCTAGAGCATAAAAGCAGCCTCAGTGACCTTGGACCAGTCAGTATCTAACTATCTAACCCAGAGTTGTTATAAGAATAAAAAAGGGGCAATCATTTAGGAGGAGGAGATTGGTCTAAGAGGAGGATGCCTTGGAGTCTGATGAGCAGACAACCCTTACTGGTAATGGCAGCATAGGAGGGCGATAAACTGGAGCAGGGCTGGTGGCTGTTAGTCCCTCCCTGCCAAGTTATCTTCCCTGACATCTGCACCACACACTTAAAAGCACACAACTTTCCCCAAAGAATCCAGTGAACATAGGAAGCTGCCTTATATTGAGTCAGGTGATTGGATTCATCCAGCACAGTACTGTCTACACCAGGCTTTCTCAACCTGTGGGTCCCCAGATGTTGTTGAACTACAGCTCCCATCACCCCTAGCTAGCAAGGCCAGAGCTCAGGGATGATGGGAGTTGTAGTCCAACAACATCTGGGGACCCACAGGTTGAGAACCGCTGGTCTACACTGATAGGCCAAGGATGTCCAGGATTCCAGATGGGGTTCTCTCCCTGCCCTCCTTCGAGATGCCAGGATTGAAAATTGGAACCTTCTGCGCGCCAAGCAGATGCTTTGCCACTGAGCTACAGCCTTTCCCTGGACTCTGTGGGAACTGTAGTTTGTTAAGAGTGCTGGTAGATTTAGCTTTGTGGGGGGGGGGTACATTCCCAGGTAGTCACCATGTGCTTTAAATGTGCATTGAGTGTGCTTTCGAATGGTTAGTGTGGATCCACCCTTACACAGTTATCAGCTCTCTTTACAGACTGAAAGAAGCAGAGAAAGCAGATGGAAATTTAATTTTCATTATTTTAAAAGAGGCTTCTGGTTTGTGTCCAGCTTGATCAGAGTGGAAAGGCTTGCTGGCATGCTGAGTGCAAAGCAAGGAACTCTTTGTACCCACCAGCGTGCCCAAATGCTTTGTTCCCAAAGCTGAGACAACAGATCTGCTATGAAATAGAGCCTTCGGTTGGAAAGCCTTCCCTGGCTATTGGACACGCAGATGAGCCATGCTACCAGCATCAAGCACATGTCTTGATCCAGTAGCCCAGTGCGTTCTTGACATGAGAGGAAATGGTGGCTTGACCTAAGCAGAGTCCACTTGGGACACCCAAGCACGGAATATTAGCCCAGTCCTAATATAGCAGACACCTGGCTCCACATCCAAAAAGGAGACGAGCCAAAGTCTCAAATTGGTGGGTGTTTACTTCTATTTGTGTAAACGGAACCAGAAGTAAGAACGTGTTTCCTGCACAGAAAGGGAGAAGGAAGTCTGGGTACATTTGTGGAGCTGCTGCCGCAAAATAGCCCAAGCTGCCTCTCTCCAGAGAGATGCAGAAATATTCAATGAGTTCACTCTCTGGCACTGCCGAGACTCCCATGGCGGCTCTCCAACCTTGTCCTGAGGCAAGGTGAAGTCACTCTTTCTGGCAGGGAGTTTCATGGCCAGAAAACTCCGGGCAAAGTTTGTCCCAAAGATGTTGCCTTGTAACCATAGCTCAGTGTTACGCAGGATGTCCCAGGTTCAAAACCTGATATCTCCAGGTAGGGCCAGGACTGTCCCCTGCCTAAAACCCTGGAAAGCTGCTGCCAGTCAGTGAAAACTATACTGAGATATCTGGGACAATGGTCTGACTCAGAATAAGGCAGCTGCCTATGGACCTGTCCCCAGGGGTGGGTGTCAGGTGTGCGTGCAGGAGCCAGGCCCTGTGACCAATAGGACTTTGCAGGACTGGGGCCTTCCTAAGTCTGTTCTGAAGAGGCAAGGCGCGGCCTCACAGGTGAGGCCAATTGGTAACTCGCAGCACCTGGCGGCAAGAGCTGGGAAGGGATATAAGGTCAGCATTTCCCTTCGGCTCTTTGCTATAGCAACATGCTTCCTGCCTTGCTGCGTTTGGCTTCTTGCTTCCTGATCCTTGAACCTCGGCTTCTTGACTCCCAGCTTCTTGATCCTCGGACCCTTGATTTCGTGACTCCTTGCTTCCTGACCCTCGGACCCTTGGCTTCTTGACTCCCAGCTCTCTGACCCTCGGACTCTTGGCTTCCTGACTCCTGGCTTCTGGACCCCTGTTCCTGCTCCCACCCGGCCATCTTGCCCCCGGTCCTGACGTCCCCTGCCAGGACTTTGATTGCGCGTGAACTGGACCGTGACAGTGGGGGTGGCAGCAGCAGTGTCAGAGAGAAGGGTTTCCTAGAAAATGCATTCTTTCCAGATAGGAGAACAAGCAGACCTAGGAGAACTATAGTGTGGGACGATCACAGACGCACTTTCAACTTCAGGGCCACTACTGCAAGGATTCTCTTTCTTTGTTGATTTAAAGCCGCAAGAACATATGCTAATCTATCACTAGAAAGGCACTGATTGCAAATATGTCTCCAAAACAGTGTTGGTCTGGAGCAGCTTTTTCTTGGTGACAATTGCCATACTGGGCAAATGAAAGCCGCTCTGGAAAACGAGCCACTCTAGGATCCTTGTGCAGTGCCATCTGCAAGGTACTCTCTCTCAACCTTGCAAGCTGTTACCAGAGAAATTGGCAGCCATCGAGGCTGGCATGCCACATGAGTAGGCAAGAGGGTAAAGGCAGCTGAATTAAGGCCTCTCTTTGAGCACGAACAATATTAGTCTGCTTAGTATTTATACGCTATCTTTCATCCAAATTGATTTCATGGTGGTTTACAGCAAGATCAAAGAACAAGCACAAAGTAAAAATGGAACACGCTAGGGGTCCCGCTTACCAAACACAATGTGTTCCCTGGAAATTGTTCGTCAGGCAAGCGTTCACATAAAGAGTCTAGGATTTTAATTGATTTCTATGGGGACATTTTCAATCCGGGATTTTTCTGATTTATCACCCCACTTTTTCAATGGTTTCTTCCTGAAACGGTGACAACCAACTAGCCAAGGAGAGACAAAGGAAAAACCTGATTTGTCTGATGTCTCCTGCTCTGTGATTTGTCCAATCTCTCCTGCTCTCTGATTCTTCTGATCTTGCTTCCTCCCTCCTTGCCTGGTTTCTGCCCCCAAATGGCTGCCGCCAACCAGCGAAGCACGCACAAACAAAAATTAAGGAGGTGAGTGAAACGCAGGCTGTTCAGATACCTGTAGAATGTATAGTGAGGTTTGGGCATAATTCTTTGTTTGGATAAGTGAATTTTCACATAACAAGCAGGTAGATATCAGGACCTGCATGTACTCTCCAATTATGAACCCCTATATTCTGATGTAGCTTCACAGCACCATCTGAAGTGTCTGGGATTTCACACCTCCTATAGCGAACTCTAAATACATAAGGCAGCTCCTGCACAGCCCTTGGGAAGCTCTCTAACTATTTTGTATCTCGGGTTCCACAGTAACATGATGACTCTACAATCAACTTTTGAGAAATGCAGGGACTCTTGGGTCTTCATACAACTATCCCCCACTTTATGTGTCATGAGCACATAATAAACATTTTCCCTTCTGCAAGTAGAAATTAACTATTTTATGAATGTAGCATTCCAGGTTAGATTAGAAAAGCCCATGCCCATGCAAAATATCGAGGAAGCACTGATAATGCACCTGGTCCAAGGCACAGCCTATGCTGTGAATCCATTCTTCCTCTACTTCAGGAAGGAGGGGGGAAAGTTCATGGCCACAGCTGCCCATAATCTGCCATCTAAGAGTCCACCAGGTTGATAGAAAACCAGCTAATTCAGGGAAAGGCAACCTGATATTGTTGGTCTCCAACTCCCATCATCCTGACCAGTGGTCACTGGTTCCCCATCCCTGGTCTAATCCTTTTTGAAGAAAGGTGGTACATATGGTAAATTTGAGGTTGGAATGAGTTCCCTTTAACATACACTTCTTTCTCTGATTTTCAGTAAAGAGATAGGAAGTTAAAAAGTTATCCCAGAAAATGCACCCTCCCCCTCCCCCTTTCATATTATATGGGTGTGCCACATGTGAAAATTGTGGAAAGTGTAAACTGGGAACTGCTGGGATACTTCTATCTAGAAGGGAAAATAAACCAAATGTGGATTGAAGAAATGACAGAGTTTCACAATAGTGAAAGGATGGTCTTTAAACCCAGAGATTGGCTGGGGGATTATGAAGGCATCTGGGGGCAATTTATAGAAGATTATGTACATGACACATAGTGGCACAGTGACAGGGGAATGGAAGGCGAGGGAAATAACCCATGGTGCTTTCACAATCCCTGGCTGAGCCCCTTCTGTCCTCTGTGCTCTCACATGTTTCAGATCCATTCTACTACCATCCCTTCCCGAATAGAATCAACCTTGGCATTTGCACCTCTGATCAGTCTATAGCTGATGGCCAGCAAAGAACGTCTGTTACGGAGCCTGAGAGGATAATGAAAGCTCTGCCTCAGATGCCAAGATTCTGACCTGTTCAAATTCACACAAACAAGCCATCGCTTTCTGTCGGCAAGGGCATGTGAAATCTGACAGGGCTCTGCAACATCTTTTATCTTCCTCCTATACTGACATTTATAATTTGATTGATATTTATAAACTGATTAAAACTCATGTGGAAGATTTCTTCACCCAAGGCTCCATCTGCACACTTTTATATGTTTAAATCAGCATCACACCACTTGAAACAGTCATGGCTTCCCTGCAAAGAATACTGGGAACTGTAGTCTGTTCAGAGTCCTGCGTGTTGTGAGGGGTCCCCCTCACAGAGTTACAATTTCCAGAGTGATGCAACAATTAATACCTCTTTCTAGGGAACTCTGGTAATTGTGGTTCTGAGAGGGGTTTTTTTTGGGGGGGGAGGCTCTTAGCAACTCTCAGCACCCTTAATAAACTCCCAGGATTATTTAGGGAAAGCCGTGACTGTTTAAAAGTGGTATGATGATGCTTTAGATTTATAGTGCAGATGGGGCCTAGGTGAAAGGTACAGGAAACAGCATCCAATTGCGGGAGTACTCAGGAAGCAACTACAGGGGAGGGCTCAAATAGTGGGACAGCTGCCCAGAAATCCTCTATAATCACTCTGGAGGTGGCAAGGGATGACATTTGCCCATTTAAGTGGGCCTGGATTTAATGACTGAACAATCGTAAGATTTCCCCTTTCCCATCAGTGGCCCAGACTAGGAAATCTTTCCAGACAAAGGACCCAGCTATCCTATATGTCTGTCCCCCATGTCAGTTCTTCACGTAAATGGTAAGAATGATAAATAAACACCAAAGCTGGCAGGTTTTTATGAAGAGCAAGTGAATGGAGGAGCTATAAAGGAGAGAGACAGGAATGGTCGAGGATACAGTACCAGGAGGATTCAGCAGAAATAATGAGCTGAATATGGACAAAGGAAAAATGTGTTGGGAGGCCAAATATCTGGAAGAAAGAAAGAAAAAATCCTGACAGTGAGGACTACTAGACTGTGAACTAATTTCCCGAGGGAAATGGTGGGGGATCCATAGCCCGAGTCATTTCAACTGGATGAGACAAAGAACGGGAGAATTAAGAAAGTGGAGGGCAGTTTTGAAGTGATTGGACCTGGGGAGGTCATGGCGGGGGAGCGAGCAGGGAGCATGCGAGCTCGACTGCTTGATGATGTAAAAGCTCCTTTCAGTCGCAATTTCCTTTATT